TTCTTTTTATTTTAAAGGGGCTTGATCTCTTAATGAACTCAGAATTATGTATTTATTTCAAAGTTACCAAAATATCTTGTGGCTGATTATTCACAACCAAGATCTTAAAATCAGGCTTCACCGTATCTAGTACTTTTTGCATAAAAGTTCAGTATTAGAATTACACTTTGATTTAATATGCATATGAAAGAGCAAAAATCATTCTGATTTTGCCCTGAGCAAATAGCTCTAAATAGCTCTAAATCCTACAGAGGAAATTCTGAACTTAAAGGAACAAATGGAGTTTCAATATCAGAGTATCCTGCAAGCGCTCGGGTAATTGCCAGTCTACAGCCACGATGGCTGGCTCTGGAGTGCCAGCACCTCTACTAAGAACTTGATGTGCACTGATGGAGGAGAAACAAGGAGACCCCAGATGTCTACTCCAGAGAGACTCCAGCCTTACAAGATAACTCCATCAGCTCTAAACCACTGTTTTACAAAAGGGTAAGCTGATTACTCTGGATGCATGTGTTCTACTGCAGTACTTATCTAAAGACGTATTTTCAGTAAGGGCTGCTGCTAGTTCTCATTTGACAATCAAACTCTGAGGAGACACTTCTTCTAGTATTAGAAATAAGCTCAAGTCTTGGGTATCCGGTAGAAAAAAACAGCCTAAAATTCGATGGCTCGGTGACTGCCCAAAGGGAGATGAGCAACCACCAGGAACCAGAAAGCTGAGTCAAAGAAATAAGCTGCAAGAGTTCAGGCTCTGGTCCCTTGACAAGCAATTCACACAACACCTTAAATAGCTTTTCAAAGCTTTTCAAAGACAAAAAATCTAAAACATGCCTTTCCTTCTTTCCCTCCCCTTTTTTTTTTCTTTTTTCTCTTTTTTTTTAATTAAAGAAAAACGTTGCTTCTCTTCCAGTCTCAGACACTGGTCTTCACTAGGGCTTTTTGGAGCAAGATTCTGTGCTAGGCACTATTAAGAAACCAATTCAACCACCTTGACTCTCCAGGGCTTAGCGCTGGCATCAAACAGGACCTAGCAGGTTGCATGTCCACAGCAAGTAACGCGCTACCGGGCAGGCACTCATCTAAATCTCTCTGCTCCTGGAACAAGTGCAACTGAACCCTGCCATTCCACAGCATGCCCGTGGCTAGCTAGGTCCAGGTCAGGATGGGCTGGAAAGTCAGGCATTAGGAAAAAAAATTACCTTCCTCATGTTGTTCCTGATTTGTACAGCTCAAGAACTCCCCCATTTTTTATCTCTGTCATCAATTTCTAATCTCCTGTTATTGCTAGGAGTGTATAAGTTTTTTTTTAAAGAGTCCAAAAGTAGAAGACAGGATCTAAAATGCATTAAACTTTATACCAGTGATATCTTCCATCTGTTCTTCTATATATTGCATTGCAATGCACGTATACTCTCCTGCAGAGAATTATTTTCCACTGCTCTAAGATAAAGTGACTCTGACCAACTTCATTGTCAATCTCAAATTCATACAACAAAGCAGTAGAAGACTGCAAGTATGAGCAATACAGTGAAATATTTCTGAGCATGTCATGTTTACCTGCCTCAAATATTTTACTTTGAAAGTAGAGCAATCACTTAAGGTAGGTGTTTGCATACACAGGCTATTCAGAAACAATACTTAGGTTACAGTACTTCTGCGATCAAGTCATATTTCCTGAGCAGAAGTTGTTTAGGAGATGATTAAAGCAGGTAATTAGAAGTTTTCCTTCCAAATCAACCATCATCTTTGACCAGTCTGATTTATGTCACGTACCTACTCTAGGGTAACTTACTTGTCTTGGTGGATTAATATGATCATCATTACTCTTACAAAAACACACTCCTGTTAGAAGCAACTAACACAAGAACTGAATATGCAGAGACATCTCTATGCATCCGGCTCTGGGGAACTGTCGGAGACACAAGCAGCTCAGAACCAGCCCCCTGTTTCGGTATGTTTGCACTAATCCTAACAACACCTTATAGCGAGGCTGAAACCACAGGAGTTTTTCCTCCCTATTTCACTGCTCATCTTTGTTTTTTTTCCTTTAATACTTCCTCCTAGTATGCATGAAACAGTCTATACAATACTATTTACAGACAAACGAATTACTAGCTCTATTGCTGTTGCTTTTCAATTCAAATTCAAAATGAAGTATTAAATTCAAGCTTGTGAAGACTAATTCGATTTCAAATCTGTAAATGCTTTTGGAGAACTTTTCAGAGAACTTTAGTTAAGAAGCAATAACCTTCCTTTCTCCTTTGCTGTAAAGAAGGCTGCAGATTCGATGCAGCAGTTTGGAGGAAGAAATTTGAGTGCAACTGGTTTGAAATCAAAAAAATACAGAGAGGGTAATTTTGCTGATACTACATAATATCTCCAAATTAAAAAAATGCTTGTGTATCAAATGAGGGATGAGGGCACACTTATATCATAATGAAGTGAGAGTTTCTGAGATTATTGTGTTTTGTTTTTTACATTAATATTTTTTTCTATCAGTGCACGAACAGCATATGGACACTGAATACTATATATCAATCGAGTTGCCACGTTATTGCTTGTGGTGAATAGCAGAGCTGAACACACGTTCCCGTCTCTGCTATTCCCTGCTCTCAGCCTAGAACATCCATCTCAACTACCCGTGGCCTGCTGTATTTTACAGGGCAAAGGTGCCTTTGCTATAAGGCAGTGCATGTGTGATAGAGAGCAGAAGTGATTCAGAGAGTGTCCCCTAGAGCAGTGCTCAGCAGAAGGCAGGGGCACGTGTTGTGCATGGAGAGATGCAGGGAAGAGGAGAGGAGTCGTGTTAAACTGCTACATCTTCCTGCTCCGGAGCCATGAGTCTCAAGCCCAACTCTCTTTCTCAGTGCTCAAAATGAAAACCGAGATCTGTTTCCCCCAATTTCACTTTTCTTTCTCCTTCACAAAGGTATCTTAAAATTCAGCCATATCATATCAGGTGTCTGGTATAAAATAGATAATTGATGAATTAACTGAATTAATTAATGCCAGTTCAACCCCAAACAGGAATGACAAAGTTTACAGAACACTATCAAGGCAGTTTTATTTATCTGGGGAGATGTGATCTGTATCGTCCAGCTTTTCTCTTTCACCTTACAGAAAATATATAATCAATAGGCCTTCATCCTCCTGGCATATCAAGAAAACAAGAGACCAAATTCCAAGAGGATTGGCAGGACCGTAAGTATTCCAGTCTAAATCACCAAGGACTCCTGGCAATGGACTTCAGAGACCAAGCTTCACAGGTAAATGAAATTCTGCCAGGACGTAAATCACATTTTAAAAATAAAAATCTTATTAGGACCCTCCATGTGAAAATAAAGTAGTGAGAGCAGCTGCCCTTGGGAACTGAAATATGGCAGGATGGATAGCCCTTAGCAAAGCCATCACACACCAAAACCAAAATTCCTGACATGGCATGAGAGCAAACCCCGCAATGAAGCACCAAGAGCATTTTCAGAAAGCAACTGGCAATAAGCTATGCAGAGAACTCAGCCAAGAGCAATCCATGCAATCACAAAATATTCATTTTATGACACAGGTAAAATTAATCCTGACCTTCACAAATTATTAAAAATTAGCAATAAAATATCCAGAAGTCTTCCTTCTCAATAAATCAAACAGAAAATATATTGACCTCCTAAGTTCATAAAACATCAACAGGCTTCATGAAATGCCTTTAAGCTAATAGAGTTATCTAAGATTTCTTCCTCCTTTCAAGTCTTACTCAACTTACATATGCATTAATTTCAAATGACTCTAAAACTATCTGGAATAGCACTGTTAGAGAAAAGGAATTATGCTATTTTTCCCAATTAACCCCAACAAACTATTCAAAAATTTCCTCATCTGAAAGAAATTCAAAACACTGACACTTTTAAACCTTTTTCTGTAGTTCTGACAGTGTTTTGCATTTAAGAACTTGCCATTTTTAAATGACCTTAAGCTCTTTTGTTACAAGGTCATCTTAGAACTATTCTTTTTGCCTCTGAGATCAATGTCAAGATCCTTCTGGTATCACAGAGGACCAGGGTTATTATTTACCTTATGCTCCCTCTACTGACTCTACAAAAAAAATGGCCCCTAAATCCTCTAAAAAGCTGTTCTAAAAAAGTCATTTAGAATTTAACTGTTCTTCAAGGAGTTAAAAAGGCATATAATATAACTCTGAGGAATGCCAGCTCCTGGTGGAAGTCAGCAGAGTCACTTAGAAGATTCTGTCCTAGAAGATAAATCCTTCTGTATGGTAGAACCCCTGTTATTAATCATTTTAATCACTGAATATACCACTAGAGAGGCCATTTATGATACTCTTAGGAAATTTCTCCAAGTTTTATATTTAGGTTGAGAAGAAAACCTACTAAATTCAGTTTTTGTACTATTTAATGTTCCTTTATTAGCTTTCCTCCTCCGCTGAATGCACATCCTACCTGAAATTTTGTTTACCCTTTGTAATGTGCTTTGAGGAAATAGTAATCTATCAGTCTGACACATCACCATATTTCCTTCTCCCTTTTTGAAATAACCCATAAAGAGACCAATGAGATATAATTTGTAAAAAAAAAAAAAAAAAAAAAAATCCACTCAATTCAGAAATAACAAAGAGCTTAGCATACTACTACTACAATCTTACAAAGCAGATAAGCTTCACGACAACATAGTGCCTTCTTTTATTACATAAAACATAATATCTTATAGAATTAAAATACAGCATTTCATGATTACATGTAGTAAAAGTTATTACTGGAGCATAATTACATTGCGGAAGAAAGTGAATTTTGTATTAGTATTCTTGTGTATAAGGAACCAGAGTCTTCATACAATAACGATGTCCAAAACACACAATGAAATTAAGTCTTTGTCAGAGCTGGCACCAAGTGTGGGGATAGACAAAATCAGTACACCAAATGCAGTGTACTTCCTATAGTTTCAACACAGATGTTTGTTCTGCTGAGCATGAACAAAATGCAGGTACTCACGAGATCAATCAGGCTCTCCTGGATTCGGTTCAGCGTGGTGCGTAACCTGCTGCTACTGAGGCCCAGGCCTGTTGATTCAAACTGGAAGAAATATATCCTATTTAAGTTTGGAAAGGAAAAAACGTTGGTTCAAGCTGCACAGCAATACAACAAAACTTCGGTTTGTAAATACTGGTTACAATTTACTCACAGCAAAGTTTCAGCACATAATTGCAACCATACAAATATAAAAAGAAAGTCGACAGAGGTCACTGCACTTAACACAGCACTTAACGGAAAGAATGACCTGAGTGCATTTCATGAAGATGACACTTCACTGTTCATACCAATAAGTAATCAGCATCCTTTATGGTTATAATTCTGTGCATTTGGTCTCTTAATTCTCCCATTCCGGAGACCAGCCTGAAAGTCTCCCACTGGATCAAACCACCCAAGTCAAATGTCCCTGGCTTCTCCCTCTCGAGCGATACAATTATTTGTAAATCCTCGTTAACTACCTAAATTGCATATGCAACATTATATGTTTATCTTCATGTAACAATCATCACACAATGTTTATCTCCTAAGAAACGTGCCATCTTCATGCTCATGGCTCAGAAGTGTTATGGCGCACATGTTCAGCTGGGATAAATCAATCTAGCAACAGGGATTTCCATGTAATTGCAATGACTTATCCCAGCCAAGGGTCTGATTCAGCATATTTAACTAACACAATTATTTATCTTCTACTTCAAATTACAAAAAAATATAAAGAACAAACTAACAAAACAAAGGAAGTGGAAATGGATCAAGTAAGAAACACACATTTATGTCCAGGCTCTCAAGGTCTGAAATACAATTCTGGTATGTGATTCACACCAAAAAAACGTATTTTGCTAACAATATTTAGAGCACTGCAGTCCATTGAATTAGACTTCCTTTAAAAACACTGAACTATGAAGAAGAAGGTTAGTGTCTTCTCCCCCTCATTCCTTTATATGGAAGAAAAAAGGAATAATTTAGTTTCCTATTTACTGTATCTCACTTCAATGACCTAAGACTGACATCTACCCTAATTTTCTTCCAAATTCTATGAAAATTTATGTTTGAGCTAAATTCCTCTTGGAAGTGCCAAGCCTCTTCCACTGAGGATCTAAAACCTGATCTAGAAGACATGAATTCCTACCATAGGACCTATAGTAAACAAAAAAGAAGTGTTCACACTTGTCTTCTGGTGAATAGAACTGTTTTACAAAAATAACTTGTATTTTTCTTCACATCTTAACTATAAAAATATCAGATCTGAGATGCCTTTTATTTTGCAGAAGAACAGGGGAAAGCCAAATCTTTTCTTCTTTTAAAAAATTCACTCTAAACTTCCAGTTATTTTCTTCCTCCTTGGGGTAAGAAGGTAAGGTATCAAGTATTCAAACATGGTCATAAGATCTGTGAATTCAAGATTGCCTATTCCCCTTGTTAAGGCACGAACAATAAAGAAAAACTTTTTTTCATATGGAAAAAAAAAAGCATAAACTTTTCCTAAGAAGAAAACCCTTTCTATAAGAAAATATATTCAGAATTAAAAATGTATTTGCAGATTTCAGTCATTATATCTCATTTTAAAAAGATTTGTTTCTGTACCACCAAAACTCCATAGCTTAGTCTGCCTGCAATCTATTGCTCTTCATATTTTTCAATTCCTAACTTACAATAGTTATAAGTAACTTTCAATTAGTTACTTTGATAGATTTAAAAGGGAATTTTGCATTTGAAACATATACAAAAGTATGTAAATTTAAATTCCCATAAAATAAAACATTGAGAACTCCAGACTGATCACACGATTAAGCGTAGGCTGAAGTGTGAAACGTGTGTAAGAAGTAAAAGTTTCCTTAGTATTTTTTTCTTCAAGGACAGAATTTTATGACTTCATGTGAAACACCTCAATGCAGTACTAAACCTTCTTACTTCTTGAAAGTTTTTGTTATTCCTATAGGTAAAATAACAGACACCTTAATTCTACAAATTGATGACCTAGCAAGCCATGCTTAATGGGAAACCAAAATATCAAAGAATTGAAAGAAAAATTTTACTAATCAGCAATTCCACATGACTCTAACTAAAAAGTGCTTTCTGTAAAAATCTGGCCCATTAATTTTATAAATATTACAATGTCTTGTCAAAAAAGAAACCCCTCAAATTTATTCTGCTAAGTAAAGACTATTCTGTAGCATGTTCACAAATGCCTTGCACTTTTCTGAGTAGTTATTAAATGTATTATATTTTCCTATTAAGTTGTTCTATAACTTGAAAACAGGAGAAAAAACAGCCTTAATTTGCATCGCAGAAATGAAAATGGTATTAAACGAGAGATTTTGGTGACAGGGATGTGAAGCTGTTACTAGTGAAGAATGCCAAATACTAAATGCATAGGGGAATCATCCTAAAATGTTCTGGAAAGAGTAATGACTTGTCAACACTAAGTTCCGAATCTTGTTTTTCAGTGAATTGACCATGAACTGTGGACAATTAATCACTTTCCTTATATATGCGCTAATGCTGGATGCATTTAAATGTAATAGATGCTTTTTAAAAATGTCAGTGGTCTAAATCACATACCATCAACCATCTCTGATTTTAAAAAGTTTAGAAAGACTATGGGAGATGAGGACATTAAAGCAGCATTACAAAAGGGTTTATTACATTCATAGACCCTTTGTAAGCTTTATGTTTCCCATGTAAAAATCATCTGTCAAAACAAAAACTAGGTGTGCTACAAAAACATCACAGTTGTATCCATCTGCTGTGTTTACCTGCCTAGCACTGTGTTGTTCTCTGTTAGAAGCAGAAAGTGAAGAACTCGCTACGGGCTTTAAAAAACACAAAACAGAAGGTGCAAAAATAATATGAATACCAGAACACCTTATTAAGCCCAAGAAAATCAATTATCTTAAAAAAAAAAAAATACCACCCAGCTTCGAAACACAAACATATTGCAAATATACTTGTCCCACCAAAGAGAGCAGCTCAAAACCATTCTGAAACGTATGCTGAAAACCCAATCCGACTTGCCAACAGATGATGATGAATTTGGAACTACATGAGATTACTGCTTATGGAGTAATTTAGGTGCCAAAGAAGGAGAAAGTTTCTACACGCGTATTTTCAAAAATACTTTAAGACATTTCTGCTGAAAGTTGATCTATGTTATGTAGAGACTTTGCCAACCAGCATTTATTTCAACTACAGGATCATCCTCCAAAAGAGAAAACAAATTGATTTCATTAATGTAGTTAGTTTGACAGTAGAATACTAGATGTGGGACAGTGCGCTTCAAACCTCTTAAACTTGAGCTGCTACTCAATACAGGCCCCCTTCTCCTTGTCCTCCTCCTGCTACTCTTATCTGAGCTAGAGAAATACATATAAAAAATAAACAGCTCTTCAGGCACCAAGTCACCACCCTTTTTCTGCCCACTCTCTTGCTCCCCAGTTTGTGCCTCTATTTTTGATAGTGCCTGTTGTCTTCTCTCCTTTCAAGCTGGAAAAAGATTACAGAATGTGCTCAAAACAACAGGATTCTCATCCTGGTGATAATGATGCTTCCGGTACTTATTCCCCCCAACACGGATCTAATCAGCCTTTTCTTACTCCTGCATTCAAATCCAAGCTGATGCCACAGTTTTTCCGGTGGGAATATATATTTCATAGTATTTTAAGTAAAGAGATGCCCTGTATTATTATTCTGTGCATACAGTGACAATCTGAAACAAATTATGTTTCTACCTACCATGTCATTTCGGCCAAAAAATGTATAGACTGCATATAGATAGTAATCAAAGAGCTGGGACATGAAGTGGATCACATCAAATGCAATGGGTTTCAGAATATTCATCATCTGCATGTATTTCCCTTAAAAAAAAAAAAAAAGGCAGTAGGTCAGTTTTCTCAGCAGAGGTGCTACAAAAACAGCAGCGAGTTTGACAAATCCAAAACAAGCTTTACGGAGTTTATCATTTAGCCTTGAATACTGAGTATAGCAACTTAGGAATATTTTAGAAATTAGGAGGTTTAAAAACAAAGTGAGATACAATGACTGAAACTATATGTGTATGTTAACATGTATCTAAGTGACTTAAATCATTCTTGTACCAAAATTAAAAAAAAAAAACATGACACTCTAGTTCCTTCAAAAATTTCATTTTTTTCAATAATAACCACCCATAAATATCCCTCTTAGGGATAAAGAATAAGTTCTCGATTTATAACAAAAGTTATCAGAGATGACTGGAAAGTAAAGAAACTGGGTGGAACAAACTGGAGGATGTCAGTGTCACAGAGCCATGAAGAGGGCTGATGAGAATTAAGGATGTAGCAGGCAAGTGATTTTAGCAGAAAAGGTTCTACTGTATTTAGTAGTATAGATTGGGAAAATTGAACAGTTCTCAAAGGAGAATCAAAGAGCTTATTTTGCCCTGCAAAAGTGACATAGAAAACTTTCTATAAATCTGCTTGAAACTAGTTGTTCTCCTTCCTAATATATAAGCAGAAGGATGCTACCACAAGATAGAATGAGTATAAATTCATCAAGATCAAACTGAGACTGAAAATTTAGAGGACAGTTATTCTGTAGTAGGTTTACAAAAAGGCAGTTGAAGTAAGAAGTGCAACTAGTTTGAAACGTGCACCTGGCGTGTTTCTAGAGGGACAGAAGATGTCCTGATAAACAAATTGTATTACAGTCCAACCAATTTTAGAAGGAACTGGACCACTCTTTGTTTATTAAGCTTCACCTTATTAATTTTCTATTTTAGTATTTGTCTCTGAATGTCCTAGCGTAGGGCTTGGCACATCCAGGCTAAAGAATAAATCCTCCTCTTCCTTTCTGCTCCCTTTATGCTTCCCCCTATGCTCCTCTACACTATTCCAACCTCAGTGTCTGCCAGGCAGCTGCTTGCAGTTTTAGAGCCCTGAACTTTCCTAGGCCCAGCAGCAAGGAACACGACCCACAGGCTAGCCAAAACCTGACATGCCTTTTGTCCTGTTAGAGTTTAAGAACCAGAAGGAATATATAACTACCTTTGGGTTATTATAGTAACAGATGGCAATTTCTGGAAGAAACTGCAAGCGCAGCTCATTCAGTATGTTGGACGTAACAGACAATTTACCAAAACGTAACATTCCACACACATTTTGAAGTGACAGGTTTGGAAAAAAATTGTACAAGGGTGTCAAAATCATTTCTTTTTCCTGTAGTCAACAATACTGTTTTTCAAAGATAATATTGTGTTTGGCAAATGAATTTATTAATTGAGACAGATGATGATGCTTCATGCAAACAAACGGAGCAACAAAGCAACAAAATAGGTGTTGTTAGAAGGTTATTTGAATTTTTTAAAACATTTACTTGTCCCCTTCAGTAAAGATTACATTAATTTGACAAATACATGATACAGCTAATCGCTATAGGCAGAATCAAGCAATAACTTGACATGATTACTTTACAGGTGTCTATATAGCTTAGACTGCCTGCTTGAGTACTGTGCATCAAAGCTCCACTTTGCTAAAAGGTACAATTACACTTTTTTTAAAGCATATATTTTGGTGTGTGTGTTTTTTCTTGAAGATTTGGCACTGTTACAATATTTAGTATCTGGCAATAACTGGTTAACTGGTTACTAATTGCGTGCTTATTAATGTTTGATCTACAGGGTAGTAGTATACCTGTATACCAGTATTACGAAAAAACTGAAAAGCAGATTCAGAAAGTTCTGCTTGTTTTCCAAAAGGGAAGAATTAATGTAGCAAATCCCAGGACAGATCAGTGTGAATATTTAGAGATGTTTGGAAAAGGATGACACACTATGAAACCAGATGTCATCTTCATATGTGCTGTCTCAATACTCTGTATTACTACATGCTGATTTTTTCCACTTGCTCTTTGTTCTAAACTGGTTTTCCAAAATGCATGCAAACCATACACATAAGAGTGCTGTGCCATATTCTGAACAGTTGTATTTCCAAATATCTGTGCTGCTGGCATAAATACTCAAGGTAGTCTCTTGGGCACAATCCTGTGCTCTTCCAAAGGGGTACACACTATGCATCACCCAAGTGCTGTCCTTGTAAAATCTTTTGATGCCAAGAACATTTCTCTCTGACTACATCACTCAGCATCTCAAGACAAGCGTTCCAAGAACATTTCCTCCTAGCTGCTTTCTCTAGTAGCATGCCAGCTTCGAACTTCTATAGGTTGTTCCTTAGTTCCACTAAAGCTCTTGCTGGGGGTGCAGAAGGGTGTGTGAGAACATTTCCAAACAGGAGTAATAGCCTAAACCCATGCTCTGCTAGAAATCCCCAAGAAATAACTGAAAATACTGTTCGGATTTTTAGCGGCTCAAAGTAGCTAGACTTTCTAGAGGTTCTCTCTAACAGTGTGCTTTATTTTATTTTGTTTTTCTTTAAAGTAGGTAGCATTGCTTGCACTTCTTTTGCTCTCAAACACAGTAGGTACACTAGCAGACTAAGCTATATAAAACTGACCACTAAAAACAAAAAGGTATCACTACCTCCTTAAAATTAAATATTTGAATTTCAATATATCTATGGTCATACATAAAACTCCTTTCCCTAGACATTTAACAGAGTTTATTCTTCCTTTGTATTTTATGTCAACATACTAGGGTCAGATCACTTGTTGTTGTTGTTTCTTCTTTCTTTCAAAATCTTCTTTTACTCGACTGAGCAAATCAAATCCTCATGTTCACCTCACTCCAGACTTTCAAACCTCCTTTCCTTTATGATTTGTTTTTAACCAAGTTCAGTGAGCTGATCCAGCTCAACCAACAATCACATTGATGCAACATAAAGAAGGCAGGAATGACAGCAACAAAACACAGCACGGATAAAAACTACTCAAAAATGGACATTACTGCCACCAACGCAAATCTCTGTTAAATTACAGCCTTATTATCAAGGAACAGAACTTTTAGGACTACAGGCTTTCTGCTGCCTAGGACATATCTATAATATTTCCTGCAGTTGCGTACAGCCCTGCTTATTTTTATGAGACTCCACATTGTTGGTACCGCATATGCAATTCACTTTGCCCAACTTTTGTCTTGTTTTAGATCTAAAAATCAGACACCTAGCCCAAACTGGTTGCCCAAATTTCCTGTGCAGAATGAAACAGCTCCAGACGACTAACGCTACAAGAGAGATGCTGAGATATGCATACAAAGATACCTAGGGCAGGAAATAAAATCTATTATCCTCCAGAGTTGCCTAGTTCTCTCCAATGACAGTGATGGGATCCTAGATAATGAGTTTAGATTATACTCCTTCACATGGGTGAAATTAGGCAGTGCAAATATCACGCTATTTTCCTAGCCAAGCTCCTAAAAGAGTTTGAGCTGAAGCATCCGTGGCATTCGCAGAAGAGACATCTGTTAAAAGATGTGGTGAGCATCCTGCCCCAGTGTAATAACCAGTCGAGCCATGGGTTGTATCCCGGTGATTGAGAAGTGGCAAGTAAAGACATATTTAAGAGGGAAAGGAGTCATCCAAACAATTGTAGATCCATTAGTCTAATTTGCAGGATGTAGGTCATTAGATCCAGTTTTGAAGATGATATGGCAGTGACAGAAACATAAATATGGACGTAAATCTAGGATAAAGCAAATCATGGATCTACCAAAGGTGACCTGCACCAGACCAAGATATACTCTCTTTAGAGAAGCTATTTGATTATCTGGACAAGAGTGATACCGCAAATTTAATTTATCTGGACTTTAGTCAAAGTATTCATTTTATAATCTTGCCCAATAATAAGCAAAGCTGGAGATATTTTCGAAATGAGAAAGGGATCACAGAGGTAAAAAGAGTGTGCTGAAAGGGGAAATATCTGAAAAAGCTATAGTGGAGATCCCAACTATTGGCCGCTTCTCACATTTTCATGAATATCTCTGGCACAAAAATAACTGTGTGATAATGCAAAAAATAAGGAAGCATCATCAAAAGAGAAAAGGACTGACATTTCATACAGGAAGAACTGAAGGACCTTGATGACTGATGCAATAAAAATTGGACGAAATTCAGCACCACAAAATGCGAAGCTGTGCATTTGGGGACCAATTAAAAAGACCCACATTTTTCTGCTATAAACTAGAAGCTCGTCACTTGAAGTAAAATGGAAAAAAATGAAGGACCAGCTGGAAGTGTAAGCTCATTACAGAAGGACTGATCTGCCAGCACAATGAAGCTGTGAGAAATCTGAAGAGGTGCAAAAGGAAAAAAAAAAACGTACTTCAGATCAGGAAGCCGTGACACAACGTAGCAAGATCTCACCCAAGTACTGCCCATGATTTTGATAAGCTTGTAACAAGAACAGTAAAAGAACTGAGCAAGTAGGGGACCTTAACCTTGAAGGATAAATACAGAGGATAGGAAAACAAAGGCTGAAAAGATAAAGGATTACTTTATATAAAAACAGCAGGGTAGGTTGCTCAGGGAATTGTCCAGTTGAGCCTTGTCCAGAAGCTTCCCAGGCAACTAGGCCTCTTTAAATAAATTGTTTAATCTACCAGGATACATTAGCAACATAAAGCACTGATCTATTCCTTTTCTATGTCCACTAATTTTAAGTATTCAGTATATTAGACTATCTAATAAAAATATTTTAAGTCTTTTATTAGTAAGTTATAAACACTTTCGGAGAATGGAATTAAGAGTCCAGGTATAAGTGCTGTAATGCATAGGTTTGCATTAAAATAAAAACCATAATTCCTACAATTGTTCTACTTACCAACAAGTCTTATTACATTCAACGTAGTATTAGTTAGGATAGGTGCATTCACTTTATTGAGATTGTAATCTGATCTCTTTCTGGTCCTCAGGGTTTCTCGAGAAACACTTTAAAGAAAACAAAACAATGTGACTGTCTAGGATATGCAAAAATATACCAATGAAAAATCATGTAACTGAAGAAAAAACACATTCTACTTTCCCCCTTCACAAGATGGTATGTCTCTCAGATATTATTTTTCAATTCATTTATTGATGCCAAAGGATAACTGGGTTAGGACTCAAGCATTTAAAAAGAGAAGCCTGGTCTAGCTTGCTGAAAATAGTGCGAGAGAAAATAATTTGAGGTCTTGAAGTTCTGCAGGTCTCTATCTGGCTTCAACAACTGTTTTTATCACTGTGCCTCAGGTTCACTGTTTATGGAGTAAATAAAATGAAAGAAGTGCAAGTCATCAAGAACAAGGGGCGGATTAGTGAGCCACAGGCGAAAAGGATTGTCTGTAAATAGAAATAACCGGAAGTTGACTCCAGGAAAACATTAATATTGAATCTAGGAAAATATTAAAATTGAATCTAGGAGAAACTCTACCATGCCTCAAAATGGTATTTTTTCCAAAAATTAAGCATATTTGAACAGTTCTACAGAAAACAACTACAGACACTGACTGCAGTTTGCCTAAAAGACTCTTTTCTACAAAAGCAGAAGCCCAAACCCCCAGTCATTCCTTTGCAACAGAAATTCACACATGCACAGAGACCTTCACTTAACACCTCATGCTCACTAATCAGTTTTCTACTACCTGCTACAGAGAGTCCTAATCATCCTTCAAAACCTTGCCTTCCAAAGTTGTTTTTATTTTCCCTGCAATAGCGAGGAATAGTTTAAAGCTCTCTTCAATTCTGGAGATTTAACTGCTAGGACCTTCTAACTATGCAGGGATCATAACAATTTTTTGATTATTATTCCATTATCACAGAACAGAGATTAGACAGGAAATGAACTAATTAATTAGGCAGGGATCAGAAGCATGTAAATAAGTAGCACAAAAGATCAAGTACTCGCACAGCCTACTTACCTCTTCACAGGAGCATCTCCTGTCTGCTCATCCACATAATCTCTTTTCAGCTCTTCAGGAACATCACTGTCACTATCGTACTCCTGATATGCACTTTTTTCTTGCTCATCTGATTCATACTGTAAAATGAATGCATTGACTGCCATTACTTTCTTTATAATAACTGCCACCCTTTAAAGGAGAATTTTGGTCACTGCTTGACTTTTATCCTCATTGGAATAAACACAGGCTGACAGGTTGCTTACAATGTTCATTAAAGAACATAACGGGCAAATTATATAAACATAACAGCTAAATTACACAAAGACATATGTAAGTGTATTTCTAAACAAACTTCTATTCTCAGATGTCATGTAAGAATAAATACGTGCATCATCCTGTTCCTCCAGATAGTGATACTTTTTTTTGCATTGACTCTTTATCAAATACTCCTCAAATATCTGAATTTTTATTATTTGTCTTTGCAATTTGAAAAAAAAAAAAAAAAAAAATCCCAAGAACTACAATTGTTTCACAATTAAAAAAAAAATTCTCTACCTGAGAATCTTCCACTCAGCCTATTAGAGAGCAGAATAGAACTGCTTTTCTGCCCTTGTGTAAAGCAGAGTTCAAAGTAATTACTGTTCAAGTGCTGCTACAAAAATATGATTATTTCTCATGGCTACTAGATAGGGACTGCATACTTTCTTTTTCCCCCCCACAATTTTAATGCATATATTTGCTTCACCTGTATGCTGTTCTACTTACAGAAACAGCAAGAGCAAAGAGCAAATCTGTCCATTCTATGTATGATACAAACTTTGTACTATACATGACGCAACAAAGAGGCACAGAAAAGAAGGCATAGGTTTGTACAACCCATTTGATGTACCTTTCCTAGCTGTACAAATAGGAACAATGCATTCTATCATTTTAAGAAATTAAGGCTTTAAATAAGTTGTATCAGTGGAATAAAATCAGTAGAGGCTATGCTGATTTTTTTCAAGAGTTATTAAGTTTTAATTGCTTAATATAACAGCCAAGTAGGGCGTTTTTGAGGTAGAGGGGCTGAACACACACTTGTCATGTGACGGTTTTTGATTTAGGGATTTTTGCTATTGGTTGTGGGGTATTTTTTATTTGGTTTAAAAACACGGCATCCTATATATAATTAAAAGCACATGATCCTGATATTTGAAATACTTATGTAATTACCAATGAAACAACTATTTCCTCTTTGGTAGAGGAAAAGCTCATGCATCATTTGCTTAACTCGTTACAGATGCTGCAGAACTTACTTCCAGAATAAATCCTCTGAAAAATGTGATTGCACAGTTAAACTAACCGTGCATACCTGCCCTCAAATGAGGCACTTTCTCCCACTGAGAAACAAGAGTTGATTTTAATGACACCATTTAGAAGAGTAGGAAGCTTAAGTAGTTACAGACACTTTAACTGTGGCCTTAGCCACAGTTTTAATTTTCTGGTACTTTTTTTCTCTACTCAACTGTTAAATGGAGGGAAAGTTGCTTGAAATAAATGAATTGCAGTAATGAAAGCTTTTATGCCTTTTAATATCTAGGAAAAAAATGAGCACCACAGACTACAGAATATATAATTCAATATAGGATTCCCATGGTAGGCATTTATAACTGCAACACTATCAGTTATAATTAGTTTTACTACTAATTACTAATTAATTTACTACTAATAATTAGTTTTACTTTCTATTAGTTGCTACAATTAGTAATACTTAACCACAATTCCTTTAAAAATGTGTTCTTTATTGCACTGTCTAGGTGCTTTCGACATTGTATTCAATTATTTATAAAAGTCTTCCACAAGCTTTGTTTGGTAAAGCATTTATCAGAGGAAAACAAATGCTTTCTGCTCTATGATGAGAGCCAGTTTCTCAGTTCCTGCACAACTATCAGCACACTAAGCACATCCATCTGGCTCCCGACACATCTACACTTGGAGACAGGCCACAGAGCTCTGCATTTTAACTTTTCTCCCCTAGTTCAGTCAAATGAAAACTACTACTGAAGCAGCTTAGGTTATATATTTATTAATTCATTTATATTTTTGATTTATTTATATTTTTATTAATGCGTTCATATTTTAAAAGGGAACTGTCCTTAGGGTTGATTACAGACAAAAGAGAGTTATAGTTTAACTAACTTGGATGAAACAGTAGCAGAAAGAATTACAATCACTAATAAACCTGCTGTGATTCAGTTAAAACCTAGTGACACTGAAATAATATATTGACTACCAATCAGTAAAAGTTAGTAGCTCTTACATATCTAGTGTCTTAATTTTGAGTTTTAAATGAGTTTTACAGAGAAACATATTTATTAGGAACCCTAAATCTGCTAAGCTGTAAATTTGAGATAAAACTATTGTATATTTTAAAATGTAGATAGGTAATTCATACCTATTAAATACTGTCTTTAAACTGAAGAGATCTTATAAATTCATTTCTGAATATGCAATCTGCCAATATATTTTCAAGGTGCTAAAAGGAATTCGGTTATCCTGTGGCTACTACTAAAAATTATTTCACAAATATTTTGGTAACCAGCCCAAACAAGCACGCCGGACAGTGATAAGAATTAACAAAGCCCAAGTGTTAAAGTAGCTGTATCACAAGTAAGACATTTTATGGAACTATAGAAAACAGACAAGAAGTGTCTCACTGAACCTTGAGAAATATAAATAAGATGGCTGGATCTACATCCTTATTTTTAGTTCTCCTGAATGGCAACAGTTATGCTGTTAAAAAGATTTCCATATTCTTAAAAAGAAACCCTGCCAAACCTACTCAGTTGCTTATACTCTTGTCATTCCATTTTCAGTGTTATTTAGGAACAAATAAAACTGTAAAACCTTTGCCCAAAGTAACATCAATTTAGAATGCTACATCACCAGAAACTAATCAGTCAAGAAAGTTGAAACATAAAACAAATATAAAAAAATTATCCTCTATTACCTAACAAATTATTTTTGTTTTTATTTAAAGCTTTAAGAAACAAACGTAATTATTTTCAAGATTTCTTTCCACACACCGGCCCTTTGAAACAGCCTGAACCCCTGCAGAACAAACTTCAGTTTTAAGCAGGAAGCCTGGCTTTCTGGCACTGTTGTAAAATGTGAAGCAACCCAGAGGAGTACACTGAGATCTTACATAGCATTTCAGTTGATGAAACCTCATATTAAGATATCACTGGTGAACAGTATAAATGAGTATGTAGTGGGAGCTCAGTCTGCTTCTTCCTGAGGCGTCCCTTACCCCGTTGGACGCCAGCACGTCCTCCGTCTCGTCGTCCTTGCTGTCGGCCTGGATTTCGAAGGGGTTCCCCCCGCTGCAGTACTGCTCAAACAGGGTTGCTGCTGCTGCCAGCGCGGAGGGGGGCTGCTTGCTGGGCGACACAGATGGCGAGCGCGGCTGCTCCATGAACTTGAACTCCTATTAACACAAGGAAAGTGCAGCTTTAATCACCACCAGTTTCAGTATCCTTATGACTAAGACTATAAATTCCCACCTTAACAACAAACTTCTGGACAACCACGCTTACACAGCATTTTTTAGCCATCAAAAAATATACTTTTTGTACACGCAGCAGTTAACCTTGAATTTGGCGTTTTACACAGCTTGTCTTTCTTTTTTTTTTTTTTTTTAAACAGCTACCACCTACAATAAGCAATGTCACCTGCACCCTAAAAGTGTTCATTTTCTAAAACATAGTGGTTTTGTTTGTTTTTACAGAAATATAGCATAATATTTTCACAAGGAACAAAACAAGACCTAAAAATCTAATAAAAAAATCTATGCTTCCTTACACAACTTAATTTGTAGTTTATTGAAGAATTTTTTTTAATACTTGATTTTTAAAAAGTTATTTCATACTTTTCAAAATATAATACCCATTAAATTTCTGAGGATTAGGTGAGCGCACATGTACTTTCAGAGTCGAGATAATGAGCAGGGCACACGAGAGCATATGTTTCTAAAAACCTGAACTTGCACTACTCAACTGACAGAATTTTTTAACTATTAAAATATTTCTACTATTTATCTTGGCGAAAATATGTATTAGCACTCATCTAAGTATCTGATTAACAAAACATATGGAGCTAAACGGACAGCAATTTTAGGTTTCAATTGGTTTAAAGCGACTCATGTACTTTCTGCATTTTCCTGCTGCTCAAGTCTCATTTCTCCATTAAAAATGTTCCTTCTTTTCCTACTGGATTATAGGTCCTCCTCCCCTCCTTGCTACCTCTGCCCCCAAACCTTTTTGCCTGCTTTTACAGCTAACTCTACGGAACCTGCAAAATTATTTTTTGCTTGGCCTTGCTCAGCTATATTCATTTTGGACTTCAGCAGTGACTTTATGTATCCATGTCTCAGAACAAGTGAACATACTCAGCACAGGTTAAACTTTACACCCATCACGTGTCCCTTTCAGGGGAGCTTAGTCATAGAAATCATCTTCAACTTTTTGCAATTCAGCCCACATGACCTACATTTCCTTAAACACACCAAAACTAGTGCAAACTAGTACAAACATCTTACTCTCAAATAAATAATTTAAAATTGAAAGACTCCCATTTTTCTGCTACAGTACCATTTAATTTTTTCCCTTGACATATCTGACATATTAGCAGTAGATTACTACGTGAAAAGTAATAAAGGCTAATATTATGCTTACAATTCTTGCATCTTATGTAAATCTCCCTCTGCCTAAAACAGAGATGTTACTTTTCAAAAGCATGTGATCAAAAGCATTATCTGAAGATGAAATATATGCCTTCTAATCAACCATTAAAAACATTAATTTAATAGCTCATCCACCTTATTACTTCTCAAAATACCTGCACTCTGAGTTGTTAAAATACCCATATATTTGTATGTGTTATTTGTGGAACGTACATGAAGCTGCAAAATACTAAAACTTGATTTAACAGGGCAAAGTTCCCAAGTTTCATTCTCCAAAAACATTCTCAGTTCTTCAAGGCGGGTTCTGAAATACAAATGAATACTGTTAATCAGCAGTAAGAACAAAACAGAGTAGACCGAATTATTTAACAAAATATCTTCAAGAATTACACAAGTCACACCAGAAAATGGATACTTAACTGATTCAAGTGGCAAACCACTTGAAAGCTGCGTAATTTTATAACATCTCTGGAAAAATTTTCAAAGAATGCTGACCTCTGAAACTTGGAAACAACTTTTTGCCTCAAAACCATTCAGAAATATAGATGAATATTTGATTGTGCAGTACTATGCAACAGCAATGGTTGTAAATCCCCTAAATTGAATTTATTTTGTATCTTTACTTTGATATTAACACACACACACACACAAAAAGGGAAATATAATCATTTGCTTCTCTGCATTGCCTCTGGAATGTTTTCGATCACCACAAAAACCTCAATTTACCTGCAAACACTAACATCTTTATTTAAAATCTTTTTGCCGTGTAAGCAGGAACTGATATGAAAGGGCAACAATGAGGGCTTATTGCTGTTGTCTGTTCCTCTTAATATATATTTTACTATTTTGTTTAATGTGTAGCTGTTGATAAATCATGCACTGGGATTCTATTCAGGCAGTGAAACTTTCCAAAAATACCACTATTTTAATCACCAAAACAAAAATTTTTGCACTCAGAAGCACACTCAGTGTTGTGGATTATGCCTACATTTTTATGTATGCATTTAAATTTACCAGCTAAATGCAAACAGACTTAAAGTCTGACTTTCAGAGGCACTGAATACGTACACAGCCTGTAAATCTTCCCCCAATAAAGCCAGCAGGAACAGCAAGTAAAGTAGCTCTGAAAAACAAGAGCTACAATTAAATTCTTTAAGAAAAACCTTTCAAACATAAGCAGGATCTCCCTGGTCAAAATAGTATTTACTTAACCAAGTAGAGTATTAGATCAGAAAGCAAAGGCCTAACAAGATCAAAATAGCTTTTCCAAGCAGATGAAAGCTGCTAGAAAAGCAGCATGCAGCAGGCGAGGAGGAGGGAATTTGAGAGCGCCTCATTCTGAGGTGTCCTGAACAGCTTGGGCCATAAGAAAGCACAGCTGCAAGCTCAGTCTCCAGAGGTTACACAGTTCAGAGTTCCAAAATGTTTTCCAAGAAATAAAGGTAAGCAGTATCTCATCTTAATTACTTAATTGCCTCACAAGAGGCAATATGTATCCGATTAAGGCTCAAACTTTTCAGGCAACTGAAACTGAGGTCTTCATCAAATTTCTGAAAAGAAATCCTATATGCAAAGGGACAGAAGAAAGGCCAAGCCACATCCTTAGCTCCTAAATTTAGAAACTTTTTAATGTACTCCTGTCATAATTTTCATACTTTACAAATGTTAAAGTTTCAGACCAAATAGGTTTCGATGTGTTAATTTGCTCTGCTATAACAGCTCCCATACAATGGGACAGCTCAAGACTGGGTCTGGAAAAAGCACTCAGAGCATGGAAGACTGTTCTATTTCTTCCTGTATCTATCTAGTTATTTACATACAGAAAGAAGATAAATGTTAGATAACTAGACAGAAAGGCTTGTCAACCATCCAAACCAAAACCCTTGGGAAATTAAGGCAATAAAAAAAAAAAACAGAATAGTCTTGAAAGTGTCAGCTGTGCTGCCACAAACATGTATCATATCTGAGGCCAGAGACCAGTCCAAAGTAGACTTGACTGAAACATAATCAGACACTGCCAATGAAAAGAATTATGAAAATGTGACTCAAAAGCATGGACACATTTCTACATAACTTGATATGAGAGACAAAACCACATACCTAAAGTACCTCAGAACCACACACGTTCAACTCCTTTTATGTAAGGCATAGAAAAAGAAATTTATAATATTTTTTGCCAAAACAATACAGACTTCAGAAGCATTCATCATCTTCAGAAAGAACTGTATTAGGTATTCAAGAAGACAGTTAAGAGCAGTCTGAAAAAACTACTGAAATTCCAAACAACGCTTTTCATCTTTATCCAACTTGCTTGCTGTACAATTGCAGTTTTCCATAAATACAGCAGAAGCAAAGGCTTCTCCAAAGAATTGAAGTGTTCAAGTCCTCTTCTCATCATGAAGCATATCCCACTATACGACTCTAATCTGCAAACCTCAGTGCAGACATCTTATGCAGTGCCTCTGGAAACCATTTAAAACTAAAAGCGACAAAGAGTCATTAAACTCATCCAACTTCATATACAGTACTCTCACCTGTGGTATGTTTTGAAATAGTTAACACTTTGTTTTCTGATAGATTCTTGTAAAACTTCTGACTTACTGCCACAAAATTCTTCTCCAACTTGCATCAGCCTATAATGAGAAAACATAGTTTAGAATATATCTATTCAGAATAGCCTGAGCAATACTGAAAAAAAATCTAACACAGTAATATTCTTCTTCCAAGCAGAATCTCAAGTCTCAATTATTACCAAGTGAGTGCACTAATCTCCATAAAAAGCACAAGAGCAATGTTAAGTTGCAAAGGCCACACTTATTCCATGAAAGTCCATGTCACACTCCCCCTCCATATCATGAGACCCTACACACATAGGAACCAAGAGCCATAAGCAAAGCAAAGCATATGACTGTCGGGTCACAACAGGTTACACAAGGTTATCCATCATTTCACTACCAAAAGTATCAAAAACTATATAACACTCTCTGGGTTAGCAATGCCATAACCTTTTGCTGCTGTTGACATTAAAGCTGTTGCATATGTTGAAATGTTGAAGTTGGCTAATACTGAAATCATATCAGAGTCAACTTGACCAGCAAAGCACTTTGTTTCCACTCCACTTCAAACACATCCTTGGAGCAGGAAGCAAAACCAGAGATTGACATTCATGCACAGAGTCCCACACAAAGAGGAAACGTTCCTCACACTGTACCAGAAGGTAGGAAAAAAGTTGGCATCAGGGTGTAAACATCAGCTTTAGTTAACCATGCTGTCTTAGAGGTCAAGTTTGTCCACATGTAGTAACTGGCCTTATGAGCACATCAGTGTACCTGCTGATAATATCAAGCACAAATATGAAGTCGTCATATTTGAAGCTAGACAGATCTGTTCCCAGGAGATAAGTTTTCACTTTCAGCTGAACATCCTGCAAAGCAAACATTTTAAAATAAACATTGAATCCTTGTTAAATGTCCACGCAAAAGTATGAGTTCTTGTATAAGTAATACTCTCAAAACAGAAAGTAAAGGCACAAGGCTCAAATGCCTGGTTCATTAGTACTTCTTCGTTTGTCTGCATTGTTAATTTCCTTTTGAGATTTATGGCAGAACTCTGCAATGTAAATAATTCTCTGTTGACTTCCTTAGCTAGTAATGTAATCCATTTCTTTTAACACACCGTGATTCAATGTCAGTCCTAGGCTCTTTACAACCATTGGAATAAAATGGACCTTTTGTATACATTTCTGTTAAGTAAAAAGATTACAGCTTTATCATTTGAAATTTGGGATCAAATCAAACTGATCTAGCAATCAAACTAGCAATGTTACAAAACCACGCAAGTTCACAAGACTTCAAGTTCTCCCTAGCTCTGGCTATACCAGAATGGCTATAGAAGATCACTTTTAGCTCTGAATTTCAGTACCATTTTCAGTTTTCTATTTACTCAGACTTTTTTTTTCTCCATTTTTCCCTTTCCACAGCTCCCACAAGCTAAAACAAGCTGTGAATAGTTAAGAGATGCTACAATTGTAAAGGAAGAGGGGCCTATAATATCCTTACATTCTTGGCAAACCCTAATGAACATTAGCAATGGGGAACTAAAAGGTGTGCAGCCAGCTTCATCAGCAGAACCCAATCCAGGTATCAGACGATAGAAATTAATTTCAAGAGGCCTGAACCAAGCAGGAAAACAAGCAGCATGACTGTGCTGTGAGAAGCACACGGGTAAAAGAAGAAAGCAGATTGCTGAGAATCACATTACTATGATTTGGTGTCTTGACTGGGTTCATATGCAAAGCGACCAAGTAGTAACTGAGTCATGGAAAAGAAGTTTCCATGGTTTCAAAACAAATCACTTAAAATCCCTTGAGAGATCTCCTTAAAAAGACTGTCCTGAAAATAACTCTATTTTATAGTAGGAGGAAAAAAAATACATTTAAGACAGCCAAAAACAAACCTGCCATATTCGTGAAAGCCCGTGTTCCAATTTCTTTTTTACATAGCTGCGGTCAAAACTGCTCTCCTCAGTTCCAATCACATTGTTGCCATCTGAAACTGCAGTTGGAAGGTATTAGAGATATTTCCAAAGGCCTTGAAATGAATTCTATTTTTTTAGCCACAATGAAACTTTTGCCTTAGCCATTTTCATAATACCCATTATGAACCCTCCAGAACTCCATTGCTCTGAACTTTTGAAAGGAACAGGGTACATACAGTATATACTAAAGCAAACCAACGTATGTAAGTAACATATCCCATTCAATAATATCAAAGTAAGCTGAGAGAGTAATTGATATTTGTAACTCAAATAAAAAAGATAAACATTAAAGCGAGCGCTGGTTATCCTCTGCCACAAGATTCTCCAAGATACTCCAGCCCTATAGACAAGAACCATGAAAAACTGCAAAAACAGGATTTTTTTTTTTAAATTTGCTCCACAGTAAATTCTGGATGCAGCTCTGAAGACACACTCTGGAATTTTTTTCATCAACTCTGCACGTAAGGCAGTATGCTCCTGTTTTGTTTTTTTCTTTTTCACGCCCTCTCATCCTACGCCTATGTACAACTATACATGCCTCAGCTTTTAAAAAAAGCCTTCAAACATACAATATGTGGTGTGCAATCCTCATTCTCCCCATGGAAGAATTGTGTTTTTATTTCTATATAAAAAAGTGGTAATATTTTATGTAATTTGTGACCACACATTTACAGGTATGCTTGAAGTCTACAATGGCATTTAGTATCCTGCAATTTGCTCCAGTCCACGCCAGACCCCATGATAGCTCTGTCTTAGCAGGCTGTACGTACAACCTTTCCCAAGGATGAGTGGAAGAAATATGTATTAAGTTCTTTACCTACAGATTAAATCTCCTCAGTATCAAACACCCAAAGCACTCAGCAATTTGACATGAAAGACGGACTTTTTAGCTGTAGAAAATATTATACTAGAGTAATGCTAAGAGCAGAGCCCTCCCCTCCGCCCCATTCCCCACCCCATCATTCAAAAGGCTGGAAACAGGGAAGAATTAAGATTGTCTGCAAAATCATAGTCCTGCTGTGCGGCTCAGACCTGTTTTCTTCATCTCTTCTGCAACCCTCCAGCTGGCTTTCGGTGCTTGAAGACTATTCCCTGCCTTATTCCTAGAAAAACTGATCTCATGTCTCCTACCTCCATGCCCTGGCTCTGAGCCACTCCTTTACCTGACTCCTGATCCCAGCACCTACTCTCATAAAAACCTCCTCACAGCCCCACGCTGTCACTCTGCTTTTGTACCAGGCTATCTCCTCTCTGTTGCACACCCATCCCACGAACAGGAGGCAGAAAATCACGGGGACCTACAGGAGCCCTGCAAGGTAACTGGAAAGCAGGCTGGGGGCATCTTGCTTAGCCCAGGCGGCAGCACACACTCGGATGTAGATGGAGATTAGTTTTCCCCTTGAAATCCTCAATGCATTTCTCTTGCTGTTGAAAAATTAGCATTTGCACATGAAAGAGAAGGTGAATGAAAACAGACCCTTAGGGTATCAAGGGAAAGACAGTTCTGATGACGAGCTCGATAGCAAGTCTCTGCCTATAACTTGATCCTATTTGGAAAGCAATGTCCAACAGACTCTCTAAACAGACATAAAATCTCTTGGTGTTAGGCTATAATACTTGAGAGGTGGAATCTTCCTTAACCTATAGGACTTCACAGTCATGTAGACACATCATTATGATACTTATCACACGCTCCAGGAGTTTCATCTCTGCACTCCTGGTTATGATGGGGAACATGTGAATACTACCAGGAACAATCTTCAAGCCAAACTGAAATGAATCTGTCCATGGGGCTAGATATCATAAGCATAGAAACAATACAATACCATACATATCGACAGAAGATTAAAAGGTCTGGTATTTTCAACTGAATAATTCTTCCTCTCGGTTAAAAACATTAAAAAAGCGGAATTTCAAATTCCGGGTTATATTAAGGATACGATTAAATTTCTTCCAAGCAGCGAAACTGGATTCAATTCCTTCCTCTTAAAGTAATTGGGATTACTTCTGCAAGCAGACTCTCAGAATTTACCCTAGTTATTCAAAATGAGCAAAGAAAAGGTACTTGATGCAAAAACAAAACTCAAATGTAATTCTACACTGAATCTACTGTTGCAGGGTACTGAAAAATTTTCGCTATGAAAGAAAAGTCATAAAACAAATATTAGTCAGTTCATACATATATTATAATTTAATATCTGTAGCTAAATATGCTCCTCTCCTGAAGGCAATAATCCTGACAAATATATTTTTCCAAGACTGATTTATTATGTAAGATTAAACAAAATATAAACAGAGAGAATAACTCAACCAGAGACAAACTAATCAGATTTATCCTTTCTCTGAGTATCTGAGGAAATAAAAACAGCTACTCTAGTCGCTGCATACTCTTCAGGGGCTTCTGTGACCTCCTCTCCTGTACACTCAGGCAGACAGAAGCCAAGCCTAAACCTTTGACATAGTGTCAAGATTCAGACAAGAGTCCTTGCCTCAACTGAAGCATCATTTATTCCCTCACTGCCACTTTGTGAGAATGGCTGGATACACAAATCCACATGGATACTACTGTTCAACAATAGCCCCAAGAATGTTTTCTGTAGTAACCTTCTGGTGCTCCAGTATTAAGTTTATTAAGAGGCCTCGCTCCATTCATTTACTGGACTGTGCAGCAGCTGATTTCACACATACAGAAACATATAAAGCTATCATAGAGTCATTGAATACCAAGAATTGGACAAAGATCCACCAGCACTTCAGATTTTTGCTTTGAGGAATTTCAAATGGCAGAATATATAAATATTCATGACTTCACGTAACGATAACAATCAAGAGCATCCCAGAGTTATTTTTCCAGATGTCCATTTTGAACCTATTTCTTTAAAATTAGTAAAAGGCAGGCATCAGTAAAAAACAAAACTTTCTTTTTGTTTAATCTTTGCCAGAGAGGGAAGAAAAAAATATATTTGTCATCTAAATTCATTCTTTGAATATCAACCAGATCTTGCAAAGACTTCTATGCTGTATTATAAATGGAATGTTTTGAAATGGTTGGGATGAAAATGGCATCTCTCATCATTCTCTTTCTGCTTTTCAGTTAAACTATTACAGTTATTCTTGATCTATTAACATCGTTACCAACCTCTGTCATCAGGATTATAGAGTTAGGAGTTTAAAATGCTATAATAATCAAGCTATTTTATTTATTTTTAAATCTTCTGTTAAACCAGTCTTAAGAAAACATGCCCATTACATTAATTTCACACAAAGTATTACAAAATGTGAAAATCCAACTCATCTGGACAGGGCCCTGCACAACCCAGCTCAACTCTGAAGTTTGCCCCACTTTGAATAGGGAGGACAAATTGACCTACAGAAATCCCTTTCAAAATTTTCTTTGATTCTGTACTACAAAAATAAAAATATGCTTTGACCACGACTAACTGTACAAAAAAAATTTCTAATGAGCAAGTCTTCTTTTCAGAAGGGCAAAGTTCATCTTCACATCTGTAACAGGCATCAAAGCCCAAGGACGTACGACACACATGATGGAGATGAAGTGCAACATCCTTTCCACAACCCACGCAGGACTACTTCTGGATAAGTTACACTTATCTGAGCACATCAGAGGTTCTACTTGCAAAAGAGTCTCTTACCAGAGGACACGGTTCCTGCCTCGTCTTGGTCGTGCTCCTCGTGCCACTGCATCGTTCGGTAGTAGCTGAGCATGACTTCCCAGAGCGCCTTGCAGAGGTCGGCCAGGCAGGGAATGTAGCTGTCCGAGGTGATGTGCTGCACAAGAACAAACGCCAAAGGGAAACCACTTGCAACTGAGCTCCTTTTCTATTTTTTTTTTCAGAGGAAAAAATAAACCATATAAAAGCTGCCCTATCCATAAAGCTGAGCTGCTTAATCTACAAGTTTTCTTTTTAAAAATATTTGAGAGCTGCCCAACCCCTGATGTCAGCCAGCGTATCAAATACAGTCTAGAAGTGCAAAGCCCAATTGTTGGCATCTCATTTCTGACCGACTCATGTAATTATCCCTCTTATCTCCATGCAATAGAGAAGTTAAAACAGAAACGAAACTGTTCTTCTAATAGTCAGTATCTCTCACTAGCAAAGAGGGTGCAGCCACCCCTGAGATGTACAGGGACTACTTCAATTCAATAATACCAGTATCTGGATTTCAGCAGTACGTAATAGTCATCGCTGTTTGATGCCCCATTTCAATGTTGGACAAGAAAAGTTTGGAAGAAAAAAAGAAAAAAACAAAAGAGAAAGATTGACATGACACATGCCCTACCTTCCCAAAGAGCCAGCTATAAATATACATATTCACGGGACAAAGATAATCAATATTACTAAGAAGATAAATATAGAGTGGAAATTCCTCACATGAAACTGCCAGATAAAGGGATGCATTTGCAGATGGGTCTTGCTGGGTAAAGAAAGGCATGGGAAATACATTGCTCCTGGTTATCACTGTCCCACCTTCTGCCAAGAAGTGCAGCCTCACAGCTGTGCAGACTCAGTCCATTTGGGGCAATGCAATTTCAGTTACATCATTCTCTAAATGACACCAGAGTGGTCTGGAAGTTAACACTTCAAATTAACAGCTTTGCAGATTAGCGTTAAATAGCCTTCTGCAAGGCTAAAAAGAGCTTTTATCATGTGGAAATCTCCATTCAACAAACAGTGTCAGTTTGTTTTTTTCCTTCATTAATGTTTTCCTGACATTTAAGAACTAGTGGACCTACTCAGGATGGCCAAGGAGCGGGGCTTGGATTAGATGATCCCCTGAGGTCCCTTCCAACCTTCACTGTTCTGGGATTCTGGGAATTCTGCCTGACAATGAACAGTTCTATAAATTTGACATAGAGGCCCTGCTTGCTAACCCAAGGGTACATATAAGAAGATATAAAAGCATTAGTTATGACACAACGCTTCACAGAACGAGAGCTTCCTTAACTATGGTGGCGTGAACGCAACCACTGCCGTAACCAGCCAAAAGAAACTGTACAGGAGGCAAAACCCCAGTCAAATCTATCACTCCTCCCAACTGTCTGCTCAATCACTGATGCAGCTGGGGCCTTCTGAGTACTATGTGCCCCTCCTCACCAAAGAACTGCACCAAAACCTTAATAACCAAATGGATATTAAGTTTAATTGATAATAAACATTCCTCCTAAATGCAGATGCACCACTGAAGTCCTTCACACTTTTCAGCTTTTGAATTAAAATATATATATATATATGTGCATATATATATATATATACACACACACACATACATGAAGTACACATCTATGTTTTCTATTCAGTCATACTCTCTTGTTTCCTAAACCTACATATACTCCTGGTAGCAGCATACATTGTTCAAGCCATTCATCTTCTCCTACACTTTGCTTATGATTAAGCACTCACAAAAAACATTCTTTAGCATTAATAGGTGTCACTAGCAAAAGTATCTGAAGACCTAATACTAATCATTATGCTTTTATAATCATTACCAGATTCTTTTAAAGAAACTGTTATTCTGGGTCTCTCCCCCATGAAACCAGAGTATATAAATTAGGCATCCTGGATACACCAGAAGAAAACAGATAAAAACTCTTCCCTGTTATTAAAAACACAAAAACAAGCAAACAAAAAAAAACTACAAGACAAACTAAGAGCGGCACTTTTTCCTAAAACAAAACGTACACCTTTCACTGGAGAGTAGATCTGCACTGATTGCATTAATCGCAGGCACTACATACCTTTGCTAAACGAGGAACAAATTAGGGGAAGTTTATCATTTAAACAATAATCCCTCCTGCCATTTCAACACCTGTTTCAATAATTTCCTCTGCCAACTGGGTAGGTAATGGCACTGTTACTGTTTTAAAGAAACACCTCGTTTTCACTTGTAGACGAAAACAACAGTTTGGACCACTCAACTACAGGAATACAGTAACAGCCTTTTCAAAATATGCTATATTCCTTTGCTCTAAAGAAATATTTCCTAGTTCTTTAAATATTTTAATACTACTCCCAAAATAAGGAATTACACATTACCAAAATGATATATCATTTACTTTTCTAGAGGCTGGTAGATATAAGGTAAATGCATTTAATAGATCTACCAATATATCAGTAGGTATAAAATAAAAACTGAGGTTCTCCAGATCACTGGACTTAAAGATATGCTGACTTCAAGGTGGTTAACAAGCATACACAAGAGAGGATCATCTACTAAATCTCAAGATAGCTCCATTTAGATTAAGGATATAAATTTAAGAAAAATTAACTCCTTATGTTAGAATTAAAATAGAAGACAAAAAAAAAGAAAGGTTAAAGATGAAACAGCAGAACTCTACCCTGCTTCAGGACTTAATTCAAAAGTAGAAAATACATAGAATTTGAGGTATGGTGAATTGCTAGGACAAGAGAAGCTCAACAAGGAAGTAATGACTCAAACAGCATAGGCATATAATAAATAAATAACACAAACAAAAAAAAATCCCTACACTCCACACGCACAAAAATATATATGAGTTAATGAACTAAATGGCTTCATTTAAAAAGATTTTTTGGGAAACACAGGAGGAGGTCTACCCGAAAAGGAAGACTAATTTTATATGACTTCTGGTGTTTAATGAGGGTAAGCACTCCACAGCCACTTGTACACTAAGAGCATCCTGGCTTGACAGTGGGTTGATTGCAAAGGGTCCTAACTCAAACTAGATAGAAAATAAGGCTGCTATTTTAGTCTTAATATTTTATTCTCTCACAATTAAATATAACAGGTGAAAGACTAGGGGTTTTTTTCCTCTGTAGGAAGTTGGAGATGGAACTGCTGTGATATTCAGTGCGTTGATTTTCAAAGATGCACTGCAACCTGGTTACTGTACAGGTCCCACTTATCTTAAATGAGAAAAATACCCTATAAGCTGTTTCGCATCAATAACAGCATTTCAGAAGCACCAGACCCTAAAGGTTGTATAAATCAAGGGTGTGAAAAAGAAGAAGAAAAAAAAGTTGCTTTTGAAAATTAGATCTGAAAATCTTAGAATACCGAGTCCATTAGGGGAAAAGGAAGCCTGAACACGCAGCTTGCAATCTTGTGCCAAGTCTATTTATTTTTTTCCTCTCTCCATCATAAGACTGCAATTGCTGCATCACAGAGTATCTGCAAGATCTGGGCAATATCAGCACCCAGAGGCAGAAATGATGAAAAAAAACATACAGTTTCCTACAAATCCTGGATAATTGAATTGAAGTTAATACCTGATATCTGTCCTTACCTTATAATTTCCCTTTGTAGCCAGTCCCTAAATACTTAATTGTTACAAACACACTAAAGAAATTTCACTAAGTTTAAAGGAAATTACTGCAGTATTTGTCTTATGCATCTCATGAGGGTTTTGCAGAAGTAAAAATAAGGAGAAAATACAACAAGGTAATAATGTTACTAAAGCCATGGTGAATCAGAAAATGTAAACTTTCCTGTAATATGAGAAATCCTTGAACACTCTGAAGAGCAGGGATCACACAATTCATAATTTATAAAATGGGAGAAGGAGCTCATAGCACTGTTCCCAAATATAAACATTTGGGCTTAATGTAATAAACATTAACAAACCATGGCAAATAAAAGGGTTTTTTTTTTTTTTTAGAAGTATAAAGGAGAAAAACTTGCTAGAACTGTACTTCAAAAACTGTAAAAAATGAAAATAAAAACCTCCCCAAAATTTAGAGCAGACTAAAGAGAAAACTGCAGAATGGTGAACGGAAATTCCCAAATATAAACATTTGGGCTTAATGTAATAAACATTAACAAACCATGGCAAATAAAAGGGTTTTTTTTTTTTTTTAGAAGTATAAAGGAGAAAAACTTGCTAGAACTGTACTTCAAAAACTGTAAAAAATGAAAATAAAAACCTCCCCAAAATTTAGAGCAGACTAAAGAGAAAACTGCAGAATGGTGAACGGAAATCAGTGGGTTTTTTCAACTATTTTTTTTCCTCAATGAAGTGCAATACCTGGAATTTTACTAATTTGGTTCATTAACAGCTATGTCAATTACTCCCAATAAATTAATTTTGCATGGCCCACTTTCCCTCATATAAAGGCTCTTGGATTCTGCAAGTCTTTGAAGTAAAAAGGGAGAGTGCCTTTAAAATAAAGTGATTTGCAGTGCAGAGGCATCGTTTACTAGTTGAAGCTATGTAATCCCAGGAGATCCAAGACATGACAGAAGAGAAGATTGATCAGAATATTAACTTTAATCTCCATGTGACTCTACTTTGAATTGTGACTGATACAGGCAAGATATGGAGTTGATAAAATATGAAAGTATTTGATGGTTTAGTCTGTGATTGAATTATGCTTCATAAAGGACTCTCAACATTGATTTAAAACTTAACATTTTCTATGTTAGGACCACCTAAAATATCCCATACTCTCTCCCTCCACTCTCCCAGATTTTACGAAAAATTTCTCAGGGTGTAGCAGTAAGAACACAGGTGAAGGAAACTGAAGAATGAACAAAACATGCTACTCAATAGAGCATTTTTTTCTAAGAACAAAACTTAAGGAAAAAAAAACAAAATATATAGATGCAAGAAGCAACATTTAAAATCTATATTAAAGTCATGGTTATAGTCAGTCCACAATGAGACCATCACCAGACTTCAGCCATCTTCACACGATAACTGTCCTTTACTTTGATACCAAGAGCACAATAAACCTAATACAAATTTAGAAATAATGGGGAAGTCTCTAATTCGGTAAATATCATTACATTAAGTCTTACTTGAAAATAATATATTACTGAAATTGGGAGCCTAAGTCTAAAGCTACAATAAATTTCAACAAATTTCATGGCTTATACTGATCCCAGCAACTTCTTTCAACTTCTTTCTTGAAGTAATAGTCTCCTGTTCACATCCTAAAATTTATTTTGCATTTATTTAGAAGGTACGTGCACTAATATCAGAGCACGAAGAATCAGATTAATCAAAGTAACATTACACAGTGAATAACCTTTCTCGCAATTATCCTATAAATTAAGAAACTGTAGTTTTTTACTGACTGAGTACTTAGTAGTGTAAAAGTATCAGTGTGGAAAAATTCAGATTCAAAAATATACACATAGGCAAAAATCACATACTGTACAGAGATCTTTATACTGTAGCTTCTGAAACTTGGTGTCTGTGTTTCCTGCACAGAGCTCCACATATCCAAGGACTACTTGAAACACGGTGTTGTGAATGGCTTGAGTGAAGTGCATATGTAGTTGATCCATTGCTGTCTGAGAGAAAAGGAAGGAAACAAAATCAAACAGTCAAGATTCAACTCGTCATACGTCACAGCCTTGTCCCTCAATGGGAGGACTTTGCAGTGGGCTGCACGCCAGGATCTCCCCTCGAGCAGGGACGCCTCTCAAGGAGGCTCCCTGGGGCTGAGAGATCCTTGCCACATCCTAACAGATTCGTGGTTAAGTGGCTATAGCGTGCTCTCCCTTCTCGAGCAGGGACGCCTCTCAAGGAGGCTTCCTGGGGCTGAGAGATCCTTGCCACATTCTAACAGATTCGTGGTAAGTGGCTATAGTGTGCTCTCCTTTTGAACTTGTTAACTTTACTGACGTAACTGTGCACAAAATCTCTTAGTCATAAACAATCGACCAGGCCTGGGACTAGGATGGGATCCGGCCGCACCCAGACTCCTCTCAGGAGGAGTTTGGAAAGCGAGCGGGTCCAATCTGAACCTGATGACTCAACAGGAGGGTCTCCTTGATAATTCTGTGTGTATCTTGAACCCCCATGCAGTAAATAACATGTGACCTTGCCACAGAACTGCGTGAAACGACTTTCCATATCAATAAAACCTAGTACTATTTCTTTCCCCCAAGTGAAGTGCAGTTGTACCACCCGCCTCCCCCGTAACTCGTTCCGTGACACCCAGCCTCCCTCCACTACTACTGACCAGGTTTCTGGCTTCATCACTAGTAAAATGTCACAATCACAATCAGGAATGCATCAAAAAGCAATTGGTTAAGATCAATGCTATTTTCCCTCCAAGAAACACTTCCAACTAAAAGAATATTCCCTTTTTACTTAGCACCTAAAAGCACAATTAAAATTCTTTCATATATTCATACACATTTAATATATTCATTTGGCATGACCAGTTTTTTTCCTTGAAGGACATACAGGCATGTATATCACACCAATAAATTTGTCCTTACAGAACTCATGCCCACAATAAGAGTTAAATATAAAGTTTGTTTAGTAAAACCTTCTTTCAGAAGAATAAAGAATAAAAAGTAACAAAATGATAATTTAAGCTTTTCCATAATCAAGCCCAAGTTTCAGGTCAGGCTGTTTCCTGAATTTATCCTTTTGAAAAAATTGTACACAGTTCATTTCAGACACCCCGAATCTTCTCCCTATTTCAAAAAAACACATTCAATACAATATATATAATAATTATTAAATATTATTAAAAATATGTAAAGTCACATGTATAACACAATCAGTATATATGCTGTAAAAGAATTGATGAAAAAGTAGTTGATATTCTATAGTGGTAGGTATTGGGTCCTACAGATTTGAAAACGTTCTGTTTCACTACTTGCTACTTGATATTCTTCTCAGCTATTGACAAGACAACTTCATTTTTGCCATAAGAAATGAACAAGCAATTCTGCTTCTATCCAATTCAGAACACAATTGCAAATAATCATTGTTTTACCCACTACTCTAAACTTGAATTAGTCAGACAAAGAAAACAGAATGACAAATGCAAACGAGAAGAGATTGAGTGCTGGAGTTTTTCCTGTGAATTTGTTTAATGAGAAGGAAATGGGAGAGACTTCAATCATGATACAATTAAATTTTGTTGCAGAGCAAGTTCAAAATGCACCTTTTAGTAACAATGACAGGAAAGGCAAAAACAAGTCATGCTACCATGGAGAGAAAGAGCAGCTAAAAATCCCCATGAAGTGAAAAATAATACTGATCTTATGCTTTGTTCAGAAACTGTTTCTCTACAACAACAATCTGCCTTTCTCAGCATATAGATTTCCTTTTAAAGTTTCTCTTTCAATACATAGATCTCATATAAGGTAGTAGAAAGGAAAAGCATAATGAATCTTCTTGACATTAGTTTGCAATCTTCAGGCCCTTCAACAATTTTACACGTTTTCCAAGCAGGGCAAGAAATCAATTTCTCTTCCATCAAAAAGATTCGCTGTTATTACAGTGACGCCACAGAATATGAGCCCTGCTTCACCAGAATGGTTCTAATTAGGAAGAAAGAGTCAACTAAAACTCTCTGGAGGAAAGGGCAGCATAGCACTGCTCTCCTGGTATCATCATGCCTATAGCCTCAACTTCTTGTCCAAAATGGTCGCTGACAAGAACTGCCACCAGGGCTTCCTCTTCTCCAACCCCCTTTGCCACCACAGCATCCAGGTAGCAGCTGCCCCACCAAGTACCTGCTGCGGAATGCCAAGGGGTCTCTCCTCAGAAACCACCCAAAGCCTCAAGACAGGCATCAAAAGAGAACTACATCCTACAGAAGAGTTCAGACCTACTGCTACTTACAATAAAAGCTGCAAGTTCACAGAGGTGTGGACTAGGACATGTCCACACTATACCCCTGATGTGCTGTGCTACATCTTACTGCCAGAAAAAGAAAACAGAAAAACCCACTCCTTTCATCTTCAAAGCTCTTGGTTTCGGTCACATTCAGATACAACACAAAACGTGACTGCACACATAGACTTTGCAAGCTTGACGCTGTACATGACTCAGTAATGAGGACCCAGCTGAAATAAAAAAGAAAAAGCACTCACATGTCCAAATGCAGCACAAGTTAACATTATAAACACAGCCCAAATACAAATTTGTTACAGATAAGCCACATCTAACAGTGTATGTTGTAGTATAAAACAATATAAATGTAAATGCAGTATTAAATGTTAAAAACTATAAATATCAATTTCCACATTTTACATTGTTCCCCCATGACTTATTTCTACATGCTGTGACACAGAACACGAGGACTAACCTGTGTTTTCCCAAGTAACCTGTAAGCCTGCTGGACCTTGGTATAATGACTGACGTCAAAGTTCTTGCATATTTTGGAGAGTGCTACGTCCAATTGTTCCTATGTAAACAAAGACAAAAATGTGTCAAACACTTAACAAAAACTAGCTAAATTATACACTCGCAAACTAGTAAAGGGCGCTTGTTTAAGCAATGCTGACAGTAACGTCCATGATATAGCGAGGGCTGTACACTATACCTCTATTTTCAGGTGCTCAAATGTGACTCTTTCAGACTGAAGTGCTGCAAGCTGCGATTCTATTTTTCTGTCAGCCAAATGGCTCCACCGTTCCCAAAAACAAAGGTGGCAAAGTGGCATTTACTCCGAGAAGATCAAATACCATAAGATGAGAGCTCCTGGACTTATAACTTGGTGGAACCAGTTCAGTATAATGACTGACGTCCCCCACTAGATCAAGTTACAAAAACTGCAGAGGAGGAAAGAAAACTCTCCATAGGGGTTCCACCTTAAACAAGTCATTCATTGAGGCTTCAGAAGCCTCAGACCGTGGGCAAATGGGAATAACGTTACCTGGCTAACAAGTTGATCGTGAAAAAGAACAGATCACCTAGGGCATAGTATACCAGCACAACAAACAGCCACAGGAAAAAAGTTAAAAAAAAAATCAAATAACATACACACATGCACACATGAAATTATTAGTTTTGTCATCAGAGCACTGTCCGAACAAAAATACCTAACAGTTTTGCAATAAATGATGTTCATCCACTGAATGAGAAAATAAAGTAGGTCCAAGTATTTAATAACTAGTTAATAGGTTTCTGAGAATTTGCCTGTACAACTTAATAACATAATTTGCACTTTGTTCCTGTAAAATATTCAAGGAGAGACAGCTTAACTCCAGTTATTTTCAATCAGCAATGAAAGAAAAGAATCCAGGAATCAATATGAACCTAGCAGACATTTTTTCTGTTTGCTAGTCGCTAAAACCACTTCAATTACTAACTTCACTTCACTTATTAACTACTCATCTGGCAATGTAATCTTGCTCCTGCAAGCAGAATCCACGCTCAATAAGCTAGTTTAGTCATTATCAACTTATAATTTATTCTGCTGAAAAATATTCTTGGTATTACTTGATTAAAATTAAAATCCACAGATATTTTGTGGTTCAAGATTTGGTTCTCTAAGTCAGTATTTTCTTTGAGGATGAAAAAGGAGACTAGAGTACAATCAGAAACTACGCATTTATCTTTCTAAGCAAAATGGTAAAAGGACACAAAGCTGAAGAGTCAGAATTGCTTTAAAAGGTTAACATACACTAATTTCAAAATATTATATTTTTTCTTCCCTTATTTCATGCAGAACAGCTGCACAAAGACAAAACAAGGATATCACACCGATCAAAGAGTTCTTAATCAGAGTACGCTCATCCTTTCACACATACTTTTCTGTGATCCTTTCTACTACAACCATCTTGAATATTATTTGTAACACAGTTTACGAGTAATATTGATGTAAAAAAATGTAAAGTACCCGGGGCAAAAAAATGGATCTAAGCATTCAACTACTGAGAAGAGTAATTAAAATATTACCTAGTGGAATACAAGTCTATATGAATTGGAGTATATATTTGCACAAGATCACTCTATGAATGTCAATATGACCTGACACTAACTTCTCCTATATATTTGGTGCTAATCAATTCCACTAGAAAACATACTTTTGAGGAAGGGAAAAAATCGTTTCTACAAATTCTCAAGTAATAAACGTCTCGGGTACAACTATTGAACTAGCTCTGACTTGCTTACACCAATGAACACAGCTCATTTTACTTGATTTTTGTGCAGGCAGAATTTGTTCTGCACAGCTGTAACTGAAAGGAAGTGCAGATGCATGTCTCCTTTTAAGCAACATCAGCATTTGCTCCTAAGGAATAAATGGCAAGTAAATTAAAGGAATGAGAATGAAAGCCGAGTGATAAAATAATCTTGGAAAAAATGAGTTTAATGGCTAGCATGGGTGAGATTACGGGATGAAATCAGTCATATTATATTTTTGAACCAGCCACAGACTGAGTAGAGGCACTTATCAGTGATACAATAAAAGAAAGAAAGCTTTGCAAGGGAGTGAAAGGGCAGAAGCAGAAATAAAGGAAATTTTTTAAAATTCCAATTGTACATGGGATTAAATGACAAGGTAGAGTAATACCTGCACTAATCTGACTTCCAAAGAGCACACAAGTAGAGGAGCAAAGATCTGCTGGAATAGTTAATCTAGTTTCCTTCATGGTGTTGTACTATACATGTACATATGCTACTTTACATTATACACTTTTACATTAACAGATTTCTTAGAGTTTGCCATGCTCAAGATCAAAATTATTTAGTAATGGAATTAAGAAAAAAGAAATTCTTCTTGATAAGGCTGTTCCAGAATCCTATTGTTCAAGAAAGGCTATTTTTTAAACCATCTAAATCCAGCTAGAAACTTACCATCGTACACTCATTTGTTTTGTGATGATATTGCCTACAAATTTAAGCTAATTCTATTCCTTTATGGGATTGTTGCAGTTATTCAAGTCTCTCTTGTTAAGCCTCAGCATTGGTCCTGCCCGGAAGGTTGCTGACCTCTAAAACTTCCAGTGAAACTCATCTCCTGCAGAGCTTAGCCACGCTATGGGCAGGAGGTTTGCTGCTCATGGTTACTTTTCACAAGTATTTAGAAGGAGTATACCGAATTAACAGGAGTTTATGGACTGAAAACCACTGTGCACCTCCAGTATTTCAAATGCTACGTGCCTGCTGTATTGGATTGCTTTATCACTAAGCTCTGGCACCATAGGCGAGCTGGTCTCAAGTTCGATACCATATTTTACAGCATTTAATATTTCATGACAAAATGTTGAGTAAATGGCAATGATTACAGCAGACCAAAGAAAATATACTCTACCCGCTAATAACATTGCATTAAAACATTTGAATATCTAAACATTAAGTTACTAACATATGCTGAACATCAAATTATTAATTCTTACCTCTATTTGTTCCAAAGTGTCAAGCAGTTTTGAATTCAACTCACTATTAATGAAAAAAAGAAAAGTTTAAAATCAAACTGCCAATCATATTAAAGTTTCTAGTTTATAAAAAAAGCACATTTTCTTCCTACCAAGTCACAACACAGTCATCATGTACCACTAATCTGCCATTATTGTGTCAGATTAGCACCACCAAACTGCTCTTGCTATTGAAGGGCACTTATTTGCGTTTGCAGTACTCTTCACACTTGAAACTACCTTATATTGACAACAGGGTAAAAAAGTCCCAGGCAGCACCCCACCCCTGCTAGCATCTACCCAGCTGTTCAAAGTTCACAGTCCCCAAGAAACTGCTGCTCTAAATGTTTTGATTCTGCACTCAGGTCTAAAGAAAAACACACCCCAAAAGGTCAGGGCTGTCAGGGCTTTGTAAACTATGGTAGAGTCGTTTTTATTCATTGCTCCGGATCCTTTATAGAAAGTATAGGAAAAATGATTATTCAACTCGCAAAGAAAAACAAGTCAGAACTTAAACCTATACAACTCTCAGAAAATCTTTTTAAGACCATCAATTCATTTGTTGAGTAGTATTTGTTATAGAAAGACTAACAAGAATAGCTACCATCAGAGAAGCTATTTTGGGCAAAGAAACGCACAATGGTTCCTTCCCAACAATTAGCTTTTAAGATTTTGGAACACCAGCTGGAAAAAGGCACAAAATATGGCTAATACCTTTGTTTGGAAGGGTAGAAACAACACAAATAATAGCCAGGATTTTCTGTTCAGCATGGACAGGAAATAGGTTTGATGGAATAACAATACCCATATCAGACAACTTTTGTGCTCTGAATCTTCTCCCATAGGGCCTAGATTAACTATGAAGAGATTCTAGCTGCCTAACTTAGCTCTCTCCATTTAAGTGATACACCCATTTTTTGTTCTGTTATATATCTTGGACAAAAACAATTTAAAGAAAGGTTTAAATAAGGAAAAAAACTTTAAAAGAAAGCTGTTATTAACCTCCAAATCTGGTACTCAAGAATTTGTTGTTCCGTATGCAGAAGACCTCCCAGCAGACTGCCTCCCAAAACAGCTTCACACTGCTCAACTAAACTCCAGGAGCACTTCGTGTTATTCCAATAAGCATCAGAGTACACAAAGAAACACCCCTGTTTCCACCTTTAGAATTAGGCAGAGCATACACTATCACCTCCAGTGTATAAAAATCTAGCCTACATCAACTAGTCTAAAATACAGAAGCTACTGACATTAATGAAAAAACATGTAACTCATAGATGAACTGTGCATAGACTGAACAAATTAAGCAGCTGTGCTAGCATAAATACTGTGAAAATTTACAAAGCCCTAAAGAGCAGGAGGTATCACAGAAACACAAGACTACATTTGCTTCCCGAAACAATTGCTTTCACATGAACATGCTGCTGCTAATCTCGTGTTTCTTTATCTTTTCTAATTAGAGACACACCTGGATTTTTCAGCTCTGCTGGGCATGCATGTCCATGCACATGAAGAACTTCCTCAACTACTGAAATGTAGGGCTGAAAATCTTTCCAGGCCCCTGAAGCCAAGGCTTCGTTATTGCTAGTGATCCCATTTGCTTGATTTCATTTGCACACTAGTATAGCTCCTTATAAAAACCAGCTACTTACTGCCACTACTCTTACAGGCAAGTCTCAGCTTGCAATTACTGCAGCAGTACAGCACAGTTTCTCTCGGGGCAGCACATCCATTTACACCCTTTTTGAAAAATCCTGAAGTGTAACTGCAACATGTGCTGAACATATTACATGTCATTATTATGGTTTTCCATCTGGAAGATCTCAAACATCCTTACACAATCAGCTGGTTTCCTCCAGCAGGGATTAGTTTTACTCCTAGCTATAATTGGAATGAAGCAAAGCTGGATAAAACATGGAAAGGTTCAGTCTACAGTGTCTCAGAAAAGCAAAAGTCACCCTGATTCAGACTGAGCACTGAATGACTCCAGCTGGCTCCATGCTTAATTTCATGCAAGTGGTACACGAACAACTTCACAAAGATCCATTTATTAGCAAGTTTATTTTGTGGCATCCTCTTTCAGGTTTCAACAATTTAGTTTTGGGGTTGTTTTTCTTTCTTCCCTTCTCCCCATCTACCAAAAAATAGATGGGAACTTTGGGACAGAAAGGAAGACTCAACTACAGACTGACTTAGACAAAGCATGAGAAGATTAGGTAAATTTTAAAAGAGGAGAAGGACAATAAGAGAGAAAAAACAGCATAATTTTTCAATAGCTTGTGCCACTTTGCCAATGTGTCAGACACTCCAGTCAGTTTACTTTAAAACATATTTCACTCTTTCATAGTTAATATAATAAATGCCCAATACAGATGTTTGCTCTACATAAGAACATAAAGAGTCCCAAAGATACAAAACTCCTCAGCTAGGACAGTGACCACAAAAATCATACATTCACACGAAGAACCTGAAAAACAGAAATACTGCTTCACCATGTCCCTATCTCTTGAAGCTATTAAAACAAAACAACAACAAAAGAAGGGCTTGTTGGCACGATAGATCACCTGGGGACATGGGAGATCTGGACAGACAGGGATCTGAGCTGTCACTGCACAGTTCCTAGCAAAACACCCAAGATCTAAGCTGTTGTGGAACGATCCATGTTTCCTTTCCTTCAGGAGATGAAGGACTGGAGGAATTAAAATGATCTTACTCTACATGAAACATAACCAAAGTAAAACTGCCACAAGTTTCTTGGCCATACTTATGAGACCAACCATGACTGTGTATCCCTCGTTCAGGTATTCAAGTAAGCAGTGATATGTGCAAGTGATTCCAAGATGAGGGCCTAAAGTTACGGAGGCCAAACTGCGAGACGGAAACAGGACCAGAAAATTTCATAAGAAATGTTGCTCTCATCAAGTTTTGAACAGACCTGTAGAAATGCCTTGTCTAGCTAAAACGGAATGCGTTTTCTAAGCCACAATTATTCAACTAGTGCTTGGACATAATGGCACATCATTATTACAAAAGTCCATTTACCATAATTGAGACTTTAATTCGAGGCATTCATTTCATTCATAAAAAACCTATTAGAAGTGATTTTTTTGCATCATCTTCCCATACAAATCTGAATTAGCACATTTTTAGAAGGTACATCCACTGCAATACAGAGGAAGGAACATTTAGACCCAAATGCAATAGTCAAAGTGGTCCTATTACCTGAGATTACATTTTCCTAAGGGTTTTTTCAAGGGAGCCTACTCACATCAGAACTAATCAACAAGTAGAAGGGAAAAGACTTCTTCCTAAACAAAAGTGGACCACGATGCAAGCAAGAAATGCAGCACCAGTACTGATCTGCCCCAGGGGCAAAGCAGTAGAAAACAAAGGCAGCTACAGAAAGTCCAGCCTGCTGTTTTAAAGGAGCATAAGCAGCCACTCTTAAAATTAAAGCAGCGCAGAGAAGCTAAAGAACCTGTCTTTTTAGGTTACGCTTGTACAGAACTAGTAAAATCCACACACTTGATAGAAAGATTGAATGTCATTCCACTTAGTAAACAGCTATTCCCAACTCCCATCATCATTTAATAGGACAAATCTACAGAATGATTGCAGGAAGCAGTGCACTGATCGTTGTCATAGGGACAATCCAAGTGATGTGAAGATTCCATGGGAAGACACAGAGGTGATGGCTCCTAATAGCCCAGACCATATGGAAAGAGCATTTTTAAGATGTCAGCACTTGCACAACTTCCTGGACAGCTTCTTTGCTGTGAGACTAAACACAAATGCTGGGAACATTTATTCATTACTAACAAGTATTCCATCTTCCCACAGACTTCTGGAAGTAAAACAGTACACAGGGACAAAAATCCATGTAATGAGGCTCACGTTTACAGTCGACGACTTTTTGCTCTTTCACTGCAAATCAGTAACCTATCCCAAAGCAAAGCAGCAGCATAAGACCTGGAGCCATAAACAGAACATATATTGAACAATAACTTACACTTATGACTTCAACCACAACTGTGGAAGCTCTCAGAGCAAATCAGCTTTATCAACATACAAAAACAGAACTGATTAAACGTCTACATGGCTATGAAAATCAAAGGACAGTTTTACCACGTACAGTGTGTGAACAGATTTTTCTATCATTCTTTATTTCAAAGGACTGTTTTCTTTGGATGCAATGACATCCTTCTAAGAGCAATAATAAAGCCAACGTTCACAGAAAATAGCTATGACTCTTCGCAGTATGTTAGGATAGTTAAAATAGCACAACTTCAAAATACTTGAAAAAAGTACAAACAGCATGATAGTACTTTAAAAGATAGTACTTTAAAATAGTACTAACTTTCATATTATTTATATAAAAGCAAGTTTAATCAAAAAGACTGTTAACTTATTTCTCTAAACAGCAAGTTTTTCCAAACAAACATTGAAAAGAATCTAAGAGTTCAAGCTGCCTTTTCAAGGTGAATGTTACTCATTTCTCCAAAAGAAGAAAATGCAGGAGATTCACAGAATGAATGAGATTTCTACTTGCATCCACAGAACAACTGGAACAAACCCCGAGGAGGGCTGACGAACGAATGAAAGCCCCGTTGATGAGACCCAGGTAAGGCTCATCTCTCCAGAGAAGGCAGAGTCAGGCAGAGCAGAAAATTGTTCAGGAGCCATTCGCTTCTCAAGAGTTGAATTGTGAAGGACAGAGATACCACCACGTCATTTTTCTTCTTTCGCATGAATAAAAATATCTTTCCTTCCCTACTATAGAGGAAAGGGATTCAAATTTTTAATTGAGGGGGAGTTGTTTCAAGTTTTGGCAAGGGTTTACTGTATATTCAATCTACATCCAGTTTTATGGAATTAAGAAGAATGCAAGAAACAATTTTTAAACCTGATTCTTCAAAGTAGATAAAACTCATTTCCAAGATAAAATTTCTAATTTTATACAATTATTTTCTTGCACCTTCTGATTCCAAGGCAACGATACCTCAAAAGCAAAACCGAAATGGGAATCAAAGGTTACATATAATTATTTTGAAGTTGGCACAAACCACGCATTGTTATAGATTTTACCCTTGGGAAGTAAGAGAACATTCTGACAGGAGTTCAAATGATGCTAAAATTCATATACAAATTTTTAAAAATCTAATTAAAAATAACAAAAAAGAACATCTAATCTAGTCTATATATAATGATCATCACAATCCATGAAATATCAGAATTCCTTTCATTTGACTCCTATATTGTTGTTTGAGCTTAAAGTTTATCCCAACCTCTGATTTCTCCTTAAAAAACATGCCTTTCTAGGCCAGAAACTGCAGATACACGAATTAGTTCCAGTTCTGAAAGCAAATTCTCCACTGCGGCATGAAACTCTGCATAAGTTGATTTCCTTGCCAAGAAGTAGGGTAGATTACCGCCCTCCAAACTACCTAGCTATGGTTAGATTCATTCTAGTACATAAAGTTCTGCTTCAGAAACTGAGAATTAATCATCACTGTTTTATAACATTTGCAAATAAATGTCACCCAGAAGCTGAAATCAGCACAGTGCCACCTTACCTTATACAACTGTAGTGTTTGAAAGTGCTGGCTGCTTTCTGACATTCCAAGCACAGCTGGATAGCTCCTGGATAGTCCTCTTCCTTAGGATAAAATACAGTGGAAAGCTAATGTCACTTTTGAGGTGAAAACTGAAACATTCATTATTGTTAAGCATGTATAAATATGAAGAACAAAATAATTCACCTGTGCAGTATGAAACTAAAAGGGCATTACTGAGGTTGTGTTGCAGAACTTAAACTCCATGCTTCAGCAATTTTACATTAGGAACTTAAACTCCATGCTTAAGCAATTTTAAATTAGAAAGTAAGAGCATGTTAATAAGTCTACACGTGTTGCGTTATCTTACACAACTGACTCCGTTTTGTTTATGCATTTGTACGAAATATTTCAGAAAGCTCTTACTACAAAATAACAATATTTTCCCAGTTAACTCTCACACGTTTGTTAATTCAATATGACCTAAAAGAGGCAAAGAGGCAAGTTCAGGCACAAGCAGCGTGTAGGCATACTTCACAAAATGATAGAAAGAGAAAACGGAGAAACTCCTCTATTAAACACATTCTATTAAGTTTGACACATTCTAAGGAGAATTGGATATGAATGTAAGGCAACTAGCTCAAAGATCGTAGGAGAAGAGGAACATACTTAAATACAGAAAAATTGCACCAAGTTATAAGAAGAATATTCTATATTGCACAGAAATATACCAGAAAGTACAGGAAGATGCTCGGACCAAAAAAAAAAAAAAAAAAGAGGACAGGAAAACAAACAAACAAACAAAAACACTCAAATCCTCACCCAAACATAAAGCCACAATTATCTTCCCAACAAAACACAGGCAATCTCATCTCCTGAGTATAATTACTATTTTAGTCTTCTATTGTGCCAGAAAGGTTTTGGAAAGAAGGAAAACCTGCTCTAACAGCTCAAAGCACCCCCTCACACACACACTTTTTTTTTTCTTTTTTTTCCCCCCTTCCAATTACACACATTATGTGCTTCAGAGAGCTCAAACGCAAAGCTGTTACAGAAATTTCAAAGTCATTGAGTGAAGAGTGAAAACACAAGGGCAATTTATATTCAGCTGCTATTGTTAAGGGATTTTCTGAAATGAAGTTGTTTTTAACAGAAACATTCTAATGCAGATCAAGTTTAGTTACAAAAAACACCAGCCATTAGATGAAAACAGAACAGTAAATTGGCCTAAAATGACTGATGCTTTTCCAGCTCTTTGCTTCTCTCTCCACTGGAGACCTGGCACTCCATCCCTCAGGTCTAGTGAAAGGGTGAAGGCTCCACAGGCCAGCTCAGCACAACGCAGGCACATCCTCTTTCCAAGCCAGCTCTATTCAGATTATCTCCCTCTGGGCACAATGGTCTCTTGGTGAAGACAACCAAGAATTTACTCACACACTTTACATCAAGGTGCTCATCACACACGAATGTGACCTTTGGGACCACACTCACATATTGGCCTCTCGCCTCAGAAAGGCCACTTGCACAACACTTATTATTAACGTATTCCAGATGCACTTGACCTCTGTAAGTTACTACGGCTTCCTGTCTGGTCTGTTTTAATTGGGAACACCATCAAAATGTTCTTCTCGGAATGGTTCCTAGCAGCCTTCATACGTATTTCAAGCTACTACTTTCCTCTGGAGTAAAGACAAATATTTGGCCAACCTATGGGATACATTATTTGGGAGTTCTAAAACTCCACTTCTCTAGAAAGAAGAATTCAAGTCTTGATTTTTTTTAATATTTAATATGCTTTTTAATATTATGGTAACCTGATGTTAGGGTATGTGTGTGGATGTAACATCCACACCTCTGTCTAAAGACAACTCCTACCAGCAGGGAATGCAGAGCTGACTTTCCATGCAGCACAGAAAGGCACGGAAATGGCAAGCTCACTTCCCAGGGCTTCCTGAGCAAAGGACAATGTTTATGTTGCCTTGGCTGAATTAATATGCTGTTGATAAAGAATAGTTAAATGTAATGAGATAAGTTATACCACCCAAGATTGAACTAGATTCAAAGAACATAAAAGTTAAAGCATGAAAAGTCAACCCCCAAAAAGGAATAACTAGGGATTATCATAATGATGTTCTATCTAATATCAACCATAAATATTTGCAAATGAGCAATTCAGAATTGATTAAAAATTGATTAAAAATCTAACTGCTAATAAGTTCACAAAATTGACTTTTGTACAATCTAATCACCTTGAGACAAGGTCTAGTCTCTGTTCTACACACTCTGCTACATTGCTGGGCAGTAAAGATACTGCAGAAACAGGATTTTAGTGACCTGGCCTGAATGCTGCAATGTCTCCTGTAACTGAATCTTAAAGAGTTAATCCACCAAATATGGAAAGAAGCACCCATACTTAAAAATAAAATACTAAGTAGGGAGCCTGTATATCAACTTTTACAGTGATACACTAGGAGTATTTTATCCAAACAAAACATATTAACAGTCAGTTAAATCTCAACTTTCTTTTCTTCCAAATATCAAGATTTCTGGCCAACACCAGAAAAAGAATATGTGGGTGTGTGGGGAGGAAAGGAGACTTCACAACACTCTTACTGAATTAATGCCAGCTTCAGCACTCGGATCTAAAGAGAAGATTGAGTCTTTGACAAAAAAAAAAATTCCTACTATTTAGGCTGACACTAAGTATTTCTCACATTTAAAACCTGAACAGCAGGAAAAAAAAATACTTTTCTCCTCACACACACAACATAGTTTGTCTGAAACAGGAAAGAAGGCGGAGACAGAATTAAAATAACTGAAAAAAGTAGATTTACAGTAGCTTCGAAATAGGGCAGGAACTGGCTGGAACTTACCTCCAACATTTCACTTAAACGCACATCAGTTCTTTGCTAAAACAAAAAAACAAACAAAAAAGAATTTAATTACATAGAAATTAGGAAAAGTATTTTACCATTAAACCAAAACAATTATACATACCAATGTTTTTATTGTTCGCAGAGATTTCAGAAGTCCAACAAGTAGCTGCCGCTTCCTTTGATTTGCAAGGAGCCCCAGACTAGCTTGTGTAAAGCCCTCCTTAGCCATATTTAAGTGCCTGTAGAAGTTGCCAGTGAACATGACACTTACAGTAACACGTAAAATAAAGCTCATTTCAAATACACTTTATCTAGGTACCTCCAAATACACGCTAGAAAAAATATTATTGGCATTGTTAGGAAAATCCAGAGCTTGTAATGATATCAATGGTCTATCCCAAAAGGTCAATTCAGCTCTTCACTGAGAATTGCAAGAAAAGAAGCAACTGCTATTTATTTGTTTTAATATCCTTAACTACTTTTGTTAATTCCTTTCAGCATATAATCAAGAAATACTAACAGCAAACAAGTTTCCAGAGTTTATGAACACCTTTAAACCCCTTCTTCCCCCCCTTTCAATTTTGGCCATGAGTGAATGGCAAGCTACCTTCTTCCATTTGTGCAAATGACAGCCGCTACCTCAAGGCCTGTCTGCAATGAAGTGACACGTTCAAGCTCCTGCAGATAGAAAACAAGTTAAAACAAGCTAAGGTTTGCAGTATATTAGCAAAGACCAGTGATTAGCAGGATTTATTGAAATATTTTTCTTCAGTAATTTTGTCCAGTTACTTGATATATTATTTATTTGTCATTTTATAGATACTAAACACTAAAATGCAAGAAAATCTTCTTTTGAAGAGACATACTTGAAATCTGTTTCAGTGGGATACTCTGCATCTATTTGTCCTATGTTGACAGACAGCATATTTAGCATGAGAGACTCTATACCATTAATAGAATGCACCATAATGGAACAACCAAAGCTTCAAAGATAGAAGCATAAGGCTTAATTTGCATTAACACGCTGGAGTTTAGTATGAAAAAAATCACACAGCAATTTCTTGTTTAGAACAACTTGTGTTCCAGCAATTTAATGGATGTCACTTCTTAATGAACCTTAATTGTATCCTGTTGAATTTCAGCTGAAAACTCTTTAGCACAGGCAGCATGACTTGCTTGATTTTGACATTGTGAAGAACATAGTATAATTTGAATATAATGCAATAATAATCTAGCTTTGAATATAATAATCTAGTTTATTATATACATATTAGGATTGTTTTTGTTAGGAACTGCATTGCAAAAATGTGAACATTCACCCCATGTTAAAGGAAAAAAAAAAAATACTGCTAGTCATGCTAAAACACATCAAGAACCTTCCAGAGGGACAGGACAGACTTACTTTGAAAATTAAACTGCATATTTAAAAATACAACAAGCTAAAACTACTTTAAAGTTAATTCAGCTTAATATCATCTCCTGGTCAAAGTTTCCAGAGATATAAGCAAATCCAATAAATCACTGGGCTGGATCTGTCAATAAAATAGTTCTTCCTTGATGTTACTAATTTTACCTTTGGAAAAAATAGAGCTTAGCTACTTATTTGCATCATACCTCAAGAAACCATTACTGTCCTCAGCATCTACAATATCCTTTTCATAAAAAAAAAAAAAAACCTACTATGAATAGCTGTGGCATTTGCAAAAGACTATTGCTTCCTCTTTCACAAGGAAACCTTCCTCGTAAGGCATCGTTCCATTCAAATTTTGGCTCTTGCAAAGATTCTTTAACGTTTGTTCCTTAAATGTAGCCAGATGGAGAGCCACCAGGAGGCTGTGCAGCGTAAGTGTCCCCAGAGAAGGAACTTCTAGTTCTGCATTTAGGACTGAATAGTTTTTTTCTTTTCTGATAGCCAGACTATTTTCCACCCATTGGTTGCTCCCTTTCCTCTGAAGGGGAGGAGGAAGCTCTCAACCAACTCCCTTGGGTCTTGTGACCTACCTTTCATAGGCCATACAGGTGCCTGCTAGACCAGAAGTGGGGTGCAAACCATAACTTCCACATTTCGTTGCACGGTGGTAACACCATGCCCAGGACACAGAGAATAAACTGCATCTTTTTTCTTCTATCAACCTATTACTGTAATTTGGTGTTGAATTTGACTTACCACAAAATGCATTGCCAGAGAACTCTGCTATTTAAGTCTACTGACAGGACAAGCCTGTGTCCATACATAACACGCACAGTCGTATACAGCATTCACTTAACCAGGGAAATATACACCTGAAATTTTTCTTTTAAAGATTCTCATTCACATAATGGATTTGAAGTGTTCCTTTAGAAGCACCAGAAAGCCTGCTAATATAATCACACACAGAAACATGCCTCACGAAGATATTGCTTGGATAAGAAATTAATGTTCTTGAATGTAGAACATTCAAGAACATAGTCCATCTACGTTTGGCATTTAAAAATTACACTGCAAAAATGAGAAGCACATTCTCTACGAAACTACTGTGGATTGAGAGGTTACTTTCCAAGTGAAGCTACTAAGTTCACAAAATAGCAGCATTCATGCAAAAACGCTGTTAGTTCTGAACATGCACAACACCAGCGAGGTCTGGTCTGACACAGAGACCCTAGTGGTGCTGCCCACTCCACGCTGTCTTATAGACTGGACCTCAGCACGACCCAGCCTCCCACCCAATCCCTTTAACTCCAACTAAAGTATTTCTCTTCTTCCAGCTTTTTTTTCCTCCTCCAGCTGTCACAGGAGGAAGCAAGAAGTGCTCACCCCTCTGCCCTCCACACCAGCTTCCTGCTATCCAGCAAAACTGCACGTGCAAGACCAGTTGGACGTCTGGGCACGGAAGGCAAGCGAGCAGAAGTTGTTTTGCCATTGGGACTAAAGAGGAAAAAGCTCCAGCTCCATGACACCCACCAGAGGTTCATGGCCAGGGGGCACCAGCCCCAGCCTGCAGCAAGAAGGTGTCGGGCGAGAAGCAGGCGGCAGGGGAGGAAAGGATGGAGCAGGAAGAAAATTAACAGAGAAGGAAGAAGATCTCCATAGATGTAGTTTTAGCAGCGACAACACAAGACACGAACTTTGCAAGCAGAGAGAATAATTCATCCTACAAAGTAGCAAAGCAATATCTTTTCTATCCTCTTCAGCAAGGATCCTAGTGTTGCCATTAGTTGCTGAGGGCATTTCACATACCCTTGCAATGACAGACATCATCTTCTGCCAGTATTAGATACAACTCAGACTACTTTGATAACAATCCAGAGCGTTTCCTCCGCAGAAACCTTCTTGTCATTTCCTGGAAAGATTAGATAAAAATCAGGCTGAGCTGACCAAATGTATAGGAGCATTATCACAAATAGATGGGTAGAAAAACCATCTTCTTTAGAGCATTATGATACCTGATTGTCCTATTATGTTTAGGGAGTGAGGAGAGAGAAGTCACACTCATGTTTTATTGCATGTTTCTAAAGCAGTTACACTTCGTTTGGCTCTCGGACTTCCTGGACAAACTGAGGCTCCATATCCAGTTAGAAAGTGACTATTGGTCATCTTACCTTAACATATGCAGGCTGCTTTTCAAGAATTAAGTCGGCGACTTTCTTAGATACCTTCAAAAAGAGAATATTAGAGCATATTATTAATAAACAGCCTTCTCAATAAAGTAGACAGTCCCTATGCTAAAGTTGCATAAGCAGTTTATGATTCCCTATCATATTTATTAATAACTACACCACAAAATACTAAAAGTCCTAAAAATGGCACTCAGCTTTCTTTGGTAGCAAGAAAGAAATACATATACATGTTTACAATTCCCTCTAGGAATTAGTTGGCATTTTCAAATTAATCCCTCACCTTTCTGCTTCTAGAATATGCTAGAAGCAAAAAGAGAAATCATATGGAACACTAGAGCTGCTTACATTCTGCTTAGCCTACTGCTACAGTACAAATTTAAGTTAACAGTACACCCTGGAAATCTAAATTAGCCCTGAGGATGCTTACCTTTCAAACAGATACTGTATTAAATAAAACCCATGCCAAACCAAGTATTCACCCTGCACACATTAAACCTTTTCTTTTTCATATAGAGAATCCGTATTTTAGAATTTTATCCACTGTACTGAACTACCAGTAACTGGAATGCTACTGAGAACTGCTGTCTGTACTGAATTTAAAATGGGTAGTTTGTGCATAAATGCACAAATAAATAAATAGATAATCCAGCAGTAACAGTTATGTCAAGTCAAGATTGCAATGATCTTTCTTTCAGCAGGGACTATACGCATTTAAGACGAAGAAGTTCCAAACACGATAAAGAAACTCTTTTTTTTATTGCTTTATATTATTCTCTCCCAGGGACTGATATTACGAGGAATTAAAAAAAAAAAATCAAAACTGGCAGTGGTATTCAAGTAGCCCATACTGCAGCACTGGAAGAGAGACACGAGGAGGGTTTTATACACAGTAGGTTTACATCCTGCTCAGTCAACTCCAGTCAGCGTGAAGAAAACTGAGAGCAGCTTCACCAGGTCAGCTCCCAGCCTTGCTCCCACCTCCATACAGGTGGTTTTCAAAGTTCTAGTATCATCAGCTGGTGATCTGGATAAGGGGAGCACATCTAGCTATGCTTTCCTATGCTTTCCTTTTTTTTTTCCTGCCCCCCCACTTAAAAGAAAAAATAAAACAAAAGCCCAAGAATCAACAAATTTTAAACTTTCTTAGCATTTCTATAGATAGCACAGCTTTCTTCCACAGGGCAGCACAAGACCCAGCCACTATGCAGAGAAAAGTAAGACAAGAAAGGATATTATTAAGTCAAAAGCTACACAGGTCTGTAACATCTTGGGGTTTTGAATTTTCCTTCTGTGTACACGCTATACCCAGTGAAAATTGTTACCTTCCCTACCAACATCTCCTCCCATGCAGCCTCGTACCCGCGAGTATATCCTTCTCCTAAAGGTTTTACAAATCATGTAGTCCCCTAGTTCACATCTGATCATTTGATGCTTCAATGTAAACGGGATTCATCGAGCAGAACGCAGGAATAAAAGGAGCCACATTTCATTCTCAGTTTTTGTACACCACTTTTTTTGTTGTTGTTTTACAGGTTCTCAATTGCTCATAAAGAACATTCTCAACTCTATCAAGCACCTGCCACAGACAATTTTTGTTATTTTGCCAATCTTACTGATAGTGCCTTTCTGAGCTTCTACTGTATTCTCTCTCTCTTTTGGATAAGTCATCTTCTCCAGTATGACCAAATTGTACCATCCCTTTTGGCAGCCTCTATATAATTATAATGACTTATTTTTTAATTTTCAACATTTGGAATCCAGAATAACAATTTTTAGCCATGAAATTGGCTGCAATTTTCAATCTGTGGAAGACAAAGTGTTGCATTAGGGGATCTCATATTTCTCTTCCTTAATCAGATAAAAAAAAAAAAAAAGATTCTATTTCATCTCCTGACGAAAGAAAAGTACAGCTATGGTTACCTCCCTATTAATTAAAATGGAACCAAACAGAAGTACAACTAAAAAACCCTGATTCAAATTATCTGTATCAAGATGATTACTCAGATTAAACCCAGGAAGATACACACAGCAAAGACATCTCGAGTGGGTCTGAATGCATTCAGTTAAATGGAAACTTGCAATGGAAAAGTAAAAGCTACAAGCAAACACGGAGTTCATAGTGACCCCTAGGGCAAAGATGTGACCAAGATCAGTTGTAGAAAAGCACATGGTAAAAGGCAGCAAGAAGTGGAAGATCAGTCAGAACTCTTTTACTTAAGTCACTCCAGCACTGTTTATTACAGAAATTTTAAAGCTGGAATTATCTCTATTTCACTATTGTGAATTCATGTGTCAGCTACAAATGCATGTACTGGAACTGGAATACAGCTAATGAAAAAGGCAGCATTTGTTCTTTTTCGAAGCATTGATCTGAGAGGCAGCGCGACGAGCAGGAAGACTTCTTGAGTCCTGGTTCTAATGATCTCTTCACTATCAGGGTCAAGACATTTTTAGAGATCGACTAAGAACATATGTAATGGTGCAATATGATCTTACATGAAGAATACTAGTGTCCTTTAAGACAGACAGTAATTGAGATGATTTATCACAAGATAAACAGACAACACTTGAGAAAACAAAACATGTGTCAGTCTTCCACCCTGCCCCAGAAATACTACACAAGGAGTTAATGCACAGCATCCAGATGAATGTTAGCAATTCCCAAAGAGGAAAATAAACCCCAACGACAATCCTTTCTACAGCAGAACCACATTCAGACTAGGTTAAGGGAAGTGCAAAGGAGGCCCAAGCAAGGAAAGGCTGCAGGAAGGCTGGGGGGACAGCAGGAGGAACAGCACACACGGTCCTTGCCAGAATATTTGGCTTTGAGCTGTTTGCAGCTGCGTGTACAACAGCCAAGACCCTGACACCAGGCATGGGAATTACTCAGCATGTCTCTCTGATGCACTCCGAGCCTTGAGTGTGCTTCCCAGCAAAACTAGGTCACCACCAGATGTCCTCTTAAGACTTTTCTCTGAAGAAAACAGCTATTTCAATCTTCTCTCTGTTTTTCTTTCCTTCTGCCTTTTAAAGGATACCCATTTGTTCAACAGATACTATAAAAGTTTTGTAAGCAGAGGTTTATTCCAGGAAAAGCTGTCCTAGAAGACAGAAGAAGCTGTCCATGTAGAAGGTCCAGTATTTTCCTTCTGTACATTTCCTTCATTTAAGGACAAAACTAGGCTTATTAATTCCAGCTATTCCCCAAATGCCTCACCTAATATTTTAATATAACATATCATACTGTTCACATTTAAAAGTGCACTGAATTAATGTATGAAAAAATCCGGAAATGTAATTAGTACCTTTCAGAAACTGCAGCTGATTACCCCCTATACATTATAGTTATTAGTCATGGTTATAATTAATCTTACTATATAATAATTACATATCAGTGTTCAGTAGAAATTCTTGAGGAGAATTAACAAACCAGCAAATGAAAAATAATGCAAAATATTAACTCTAAATTAAAGAGTTTAAAAAACATTATGTTTTATGTTGCCAAAAATCCTTCAAAGCAAGAGATGGCATAACACTAGTCAGTAGTGTGATGAACAAGTATTGCTCACCTTCCAGTATATTGGAAAAGCTGAACCGAGAAAGTCATTTTTTAAAGAAATAGTCAACATGTGATTCTTCAAAATGTACTTAACAACCATGACTTATTTAATAATTTTCCATTTAAAAAGCACAGAATTTAAAATCAACACAAAGATTGCTTATCATTTCATGTGTTTAACAAATGAAATCAACTTTTTCAATTCCACTTCTTGATATACTTATTGTCAATATAACAAATGACCTGAGGGGGACATGGGAAAATTTTACTTACAGCAGCTTGCTGTTGCTTTAATTTGTCTCTGTACTGTTCCAGTTCTTGAAGATTAAGTACTGGAGGAAGCTTCTGCATGTAAGCAATAAATTTAATTCCATGACAAATAAATTCACAAAAAAAAATGCAGCATCAACTAGCCACTCTATTAAAGAAACATTCTTTTTGCCTCTCTAGTCTAATTTGCATTCAAATGATGGGTAATGAAATAAATGAGTACTAAGCTAAACATGAAAATACCATAATTATCTCAGTTCCCTTGTTTTAAGTAATATATACATAAAAAAAAATGCAGCATCAACTAGCCACTCTATTAAAGAAACATTCTTTTTGCCTCTCTAGTCTAATTTGCATTCAAATGATGGGTAATGAAATAAATGAGTACTAAGCTAAACATGAAAATACCATAATTATCTCAGTTCCCTTGTTTTAAGTAATATATACATATATATACATACACACACACACCCCTCTATTATGTCTCAATCTGTTAATTGTCTGCTAAAAAATACCTGATACATAGAACATTTTTCCCCAACTATTCTTGCCTTTTCACAATTGACTGTTCATAAAATGAAGTGTACCTTAGCCCTACGCAATCACAAAAAAAGTTCAAAGGAAAAAAAAAGCTTTTTTTAATCAAGGCAAAATATAGGAAATAAAATGAAGAAAGGATCATCAAATGAAGCTGACTTTTGACTCTCATTTGTGGTTATACTATTGTCGATTCTTTTAAGACAACTTACCTCCAACTCATATTTCACAATATCAAAGGAATCACTGGAAAAATACACTTCTTCAATGCTGTCAATTATTTCTTGCTGAACTTGAGGATCAATAGGTTCTTCCCGTAACTCTTGGAGCTCCTCCTTCACAAAACAAAAAAGGATTTCCAGAATGTAATATTACATCCTAGCAGGAACATTTCACCAAAGCAGGTATTTTTAAAAAGCCATTTATAACTTCAGTACAAGAAGCAACTAAATAAAGGTTTGTCAGCTGCATCTTGTTCTTCCTGTTATAAATTCCAAGTTATCCAAAACTTTCAAAAGAACAAAGCACAGACTTCAACTTAACAGATTATCTAAACACTTCTTAAGCAATATATTTTACTTGTAACACAGGACACAAACGCACCGAGTCCATAATTTTTCTCCTGAAATATGGGGATGCTCTGCAAATTCCTGTAATAACCTAGTGGCAGCTTGACAAGCTGCTTCCACAACTCCAGCAGAGCGGGTGTGAGGAAGGGACAGGGGAACCCTGCGCCCAAAGAAGGTCAAACACTCCAGTTTGACACCAAAGTTACTGTGCACAATCATACATGTATAAATAACGTCATTTTTGTTTAAAGTGCATAGGATATACAGGATGAAGGGTAAGGTGCATTTTAGGAAACGCTTTGAGATATTTTAATTGTTTTAGAGTGATCCATTATCTTACTATATTTAGAAAAAAATAAAACACTCAGCAAATTATTTTCTTAATTTAAGGGAAAAAATAAAACTACAAAAATGCAATGATAGTTTCCTAAAAGCCAGAGCGTGTTAGTTTTTGTAGAATTACCTTTGCAAACCACAGCTGGACAGCCTCGCTACAAATGATTTTGAATGTTTTGAAACAAATGTTCTGAAACACCAAAAGTTCCACAGGAACCTACGGAAAAATTTCTTAACAGTGAGGGTGACAGAGCCCTGGAACAGGCTGCCCAGAGAGGTTGTGGAGTCTCCTTCTCTGGAGATCTTCCAAACCCGCTTGGACGCAGTCTTGTACCACGTGCTCTGGGTGTCCCTGCGTGTGCAGGGGGGTTGGACTAGATGATCTCTAGAGGTCCCTTCCAACCTTAAGCATTCTATGATTCTATAAAATGCTTAACCTTCCAAGTCAGTCCCTGTAATTCACACTGATAAAAGCCCTGCTGTGAGGTACTTGGATTTTTACAATGGGAAACAGGAAGGGTCTACCTTCTTAGCACAAAATTAACTGATTTCTGTTTTTTTCTTGAATTCGTTGGGCCTCAGAGACAGGACTTTTAGAAAATTAAAGATGCCAATAACACTCCCCTCTCCCACAGTATTGGTATTTCTATCAATAATCCAGCACCTTCTGGTCAGCACAACAGACCAAGAACCTCCCCTGCACTTCCTATATTGGACTTTGCAACCAGCCCTTCCCCCTTTCCAGAGGCCATTCCAATAGAACAGAAGGCACAACTTTTTATTAGAGGCTTTAAGGGAAAATGCCAGGTCAGGCTTTCACAAAAAGGCAAGATAAAATTCCTCAGCATGGGTACATAACCCCGACAAACTGAACCATCGAATTCAAGGGTCCCATAATGACTCCCAGCCCTCTAATAAAGCAGCCGAAGCTGCCACAGCATCAGGCACAGCATCAGGATTTCCAAGGGTCTAGGGTTTGTTTCATTTCCCTGGACAAGGCATCAGATTTTAGATTCATTTACAGAGGCACGAAGCTAGGACACCACCGACCGCTCAGTCCCACCGCGACCAGCGCATCCACGTGAAGCGCCACAGCGCGACGCCGCCGCCGCGGCACCGAGGGGGCCGAGGGGCACAACGAAACCAACCGCCCCCGGGGCACCCGCAGGCGCCCCCGGGATCGGGAGGCAGCAGGAGAGGGAGGCGGCGCCACTACCGCGGTTCCCGCGGGATCGGGAGGCAGCAGGAGAGGGAGGCGGCGCCACCAACGCGGCTCCCGCGGGCTGGGGAGGCAGCAGGTTTTTTTTTGGCGGACCTCGCTCCTTCCCCGCGCAGCGCAGCGCAGCGCAGCTCAGCCCCACCGATAAGCACGCACAGAGGGAGGGACGGGGCGGGCTGTGGGGAATGAGAAGGAAAAGGTTCTTGCTTTTTGTTTTTGATCTGCTGCTTTGAAGCGTCCATCGCATGGGGCACGCGTGCTGGTAGATGAGGCGCGCGCTTGGGTCCAACAGCCTGCTGCCCTTGGAACCATTTCGTTTATAGAGAATCAATCTAGCCTAACCATATGCATTTGGATCCTTTCAATATGCATACACATTTTTTTTTTCTTCCCTGCTGAGATTCCAAACAACTGGCTATTTACAGAGCCTCCCTCTGTAAACTACCTTAACATTTAACAGTACATTGAGTTTTATCTCCAAGAGCCTAAATTAAAACTTAGGCAATAGGGTCAGCTTCATCTGCTCATTGAAGCATTGCAACTGGAATAGCCTCATTTATCATCTGGATGTTTGCCTCCCAGTTTGTGGGTGGCGTTCATTAAAATGAACTTAAATAGAAAAAAACTAGTAAGAATTCTTCAGGATCATTTGAATTTTTAAGCTATTGATACCTGCCATAGGGATGAACCAATGCATCAAACTCAGAGGTCAATGGTCATTGACATCCCCTGAACCTATACTAAAAGAAGTCAGCATAGGTACATACTATTACATAACACCACATCCAGAACAACAAGCTGGGGAGGGAAAGTTGTTTTGTTTTTTTATACTAACAATTTCATGAAAACTAATCAGTAAGCTTTTTAATCTGTGTAGAAGACAATAGCTCTCTGCACAAGCATAAAGCTGATGATGAGATGATTAGACAAATTACTAAGAAAGCAGTATCCTGTCTCAAAAAGATTGCTCATCTCAGTAATTCTTTCAAAAATGCCATCTAAGAAAATATTTATTAAATCAATTGGGCTTTATCACATTCTTTCTTTTTAGAAAGGAGCTCAGAGAAAATGCCTCTCAAGGATAAACTCAAGATGCCCCATAAATTACATTATTTCCCACCTATTTTATGCCACAGTAAGTTACAGCTTCCACTCCAGGGCTGCTAGTTTCAAATAACTAACATGTGCAAGGCCAGTCTATTCACTCATGACTCAGGAAGCGAGTGTCCTTGGCTAAAATGTATTTACTGAAATGTAGTTTCTTCTTCCTTATACTTAGATATAGAAAAAAAAAGAGTAGAATGTACATGTGAAGATCAGCAGTTTCAGTGGGCCTCAGGAATGGCCAGATTCAGCACGTTAAAGTCAGTGCTCACTCTCCTTGCAGGAGCAGAAAGAGGACCTCTATAAAGTCCTGTATTTTTCTACCTCAAAACTTTTCCAACTATTGCTATTTATTTAAAAAAGAAAAAAACTTAACAGTAAGTTTATGTAAATTCAACAATTCCAAGAATACAGAAGTAGCTGTAGAAAATTGGGATGGAGTGAATCATATAGTGATAATCATGCAGTGGATTTCACCACTGCTAAAATAAATCAATTACATACATTGGAGAAAGCAGGATTAGCACATCCACAAGGTGGAACCCAGCTGCCCAGGTCAAAACACACATTCAACAGTAAGAACTCTGCAAGGAGTAACAGGGCAACACAATCATTTAGAGTTGTCAGATCACAGGCTAAACATTTTTTTTTCAAGTTTTGCTCAGCCAGATACTTCTCCTGTGAAACAGTTGCATCACTTGCGGTGCCAAACATGCAATTTTTCTTGTGAGTAATTTGTATCCAAAAGTTTGTACTTCCATGGAAAAGACAATTTATCTTGTCAAATTCAGCAACTTTCCTGCAGAGCACGATTAGGGCCACTCAAAGCAGAAGATCTCTCACTTAATGCCACCTAGACATAATAGTGAAGGTTAATGGGAGTGTAGGGTTTTTAAACTCAGATTTGACAGCTTTGCAGAAGCCATGGCCAAGCAGAGCAGTGTTTGCATCCACACATTTCTAAACACATTTTTGCCTTCCTGTTTTATGCAACCATAAGATTACAGGTACAGCAACCTACAGCAATTACCTGAACTGCCTTTCAGGAGGTTCATTTCATTGCAGGCTCTTCTGAAAGGCAGGCTGGGAAGTTTTAGATGAGCTGCCCGGCTATTCTCCCAAGCATCTCACTCCCAGCTCTCCCTTCTGCTCTACACCCCCTGCAACACCAAGAACAAGACTGCCAAAGCAGCAGCACTTGCACAGAGCTGAAAGAAACACCTTCTGCATCCCAGGCACAAGCAGCCAAAAGATTTGGAAGCAAAGACATTGCAAAAACTTACAACCAAGACTGTCTTAATGGACACTTCTTAGAGAAAAAATATTTTAAAAGTTTCTAACCTAATTAGAAGCTGAAGGTCTGTGTTAGGCTATACACCTCTACATGGAAATTATTCAGAAGACAAATATGCTCGGTCCTCATTTGGAGGCAACTTCCCTATCTTTGTCCATGTTCTTTCTGCTGATGACAAACACGGTGTGAATTTATAACCCTCCATTCTGCGCTCTGCTACACCCGTGCTCAAAGAAAAGCTCAGCCTCAACTCCAAGAGGAGGGCTACAGCGTCACAGCTCTGCTCAGTATTGCACCATAATGAAACAAGCGTGTACAAAACCAATTTTAAATATTAGAAATACGCATGCTATGCCTCATGATATTATTTATATGTATGTTTATTTATATATGTAAATTTATATAGCCACATGTAAAATAAAGACTCAAAACAAAACTTTTTTTTTTTTTGGCTGCTTGCTGATCCACAGCTACAGAATGAAGGGCCACAGGAAGGTTTGTGGGAGTCCCTTATCTTTCACAACACAGACCCATTAAATTCCTTTGATCTTTCCTTCTCCAATGCAACTACAGAGTACCTATTACAAACCTTCACTCTACCAAAGTAAACATGCACTATGAAGCAGTTTCATGAAGGGAATCTTCATGAAAAGGGAACAACAAAGGCTGATCCATGCAACAGGTACTAATCACACCACACAATGCACTCCAGAAAAAGCACTCGAGGACTGCTGGGGAAAAGGAAAAACACCAAATAAAAAAATCATACTTTTATATAGTTTGAAATGCATACTGTCCATAGGAAATGCATTAAAAAAAACCCACAGCATTATTTACCACCATAAGCTGCAAAGAATCAACTAATATTTGCATACTGAAGCTGAGCTGATTAACATCAAGATAAACATAACCTTATTCAAAGTCATCTCTTTATCAACCTTACAACATTGCTTTCAAGAATACAAATTTCCCATCCTACCCTTACATGACAGTATCTACTAAGCAAAACGTACCGGCTTGGGAAAGAACAAAGTGGAAAATAGCGGTGCCGTAGAAGTCAGTACTGCAGTTCTTGATTTCAACTATTTTCAACAAAGAATCTGCCCAGAATTAGGACTCCCCAGGACTATGAAACAGGGCACAGATGAAGTAAGGTATCTCGGTCGAAAACACCCCTGCAGACAGCATCGCTGCAGGTAAACCTCTCTTCCAGAAAGCTTGCCTTCAACCCCAGATTTCTGTGCCTGTATCACAGCCGTGAGCTGCTCTATGCTTGTACGGCGGCGCGACTCGGCTCTGCGCCCCAAACTGGACAAGGCAGCAGGGGAACTGCTCGTCTTTGTGCGACGGAGGCAGGCTGGAATTTTGCAAGGCAGTTGCAGAACCTGTTGGCGCGCTGGCTAATGTGAGCGTGTATGTTCAGAGGCACTCGGTAACACAGCCGGGTAACAAATCATTTACTCGTTAAAAGCACACAAAGGAAACGAGGGGAACTCGCACGGAGAGGGAACACAGGCAGCACTTCCTCACGCTTTGCAGCAAGCACCGCTCAGCAGAGCGGGACCTTCACGCAGCAGGGCCCAGCAGGACCTGGCCACTACTCTCCTCAGGGGATGCAACTTCAACAGACTCCTTCCCTGGTCCCCAACAATCCCCTTCTGACCTTCTCACTAGTTTGCCATTCCCCTTTTCAAAAAAGAGACTTTTGTCCCTAGAATTGGCATTACCTACCAATGGCCTGTGCTCTTTCCAGTATTCCATGCAGACTCTGCGGTCTTTCATTCTATGCATATTTCGAAAGCTTTAATCCAGCTTTTGAAACTTTAGGCAGCACTTGCCCTAAATCAATATGGTGACACCACTACAAAGGTGGAAGCATGATGAAAAAAAGCTGCAACATAATCATTTCATAATCAGAGGATTATTTGATTGGCAAGACTAGGACTTTTGCTGTTCAAGATATGAACAAAAAATGCTATTTAAGCTTGCCAGCAGGGAGCAGCAGCTTCACACATTTGCTTTGGCAATGGTGTCTTTTCCTTAACGCTCTTCACCTTTGTATTCAAAAGGCAATTCTCTTCACCAATCTTGTCCATTATTATAAAATTCATAATTACTTATAAAATAATTATTGAGAGGCTTTAGCTCATACCCAGCAAAGCTGCCTCATCCTGTAATTATAACATAATTTTGATTTGCGACATCAGTACGCTGCCATGGCATGAAATACAGTTTTAGTTCAAAAAAAGTATCTAAATCTAAGGACTCCAGGACTTTCAGTTTCTTTGCATAAAACTGAAACCTAAGCTCTGTGACAGTAACTCACACCATAAGCACAACCAATATCTCCCCTCTCTCAAAAGAGAAATTCCTGTTCAAGATGGGATGTCAAAATTTAGGCTCACAGGGACAAAAGATTTATTACAGTGTCTCATCTAACCTAATGTGAAGAGTAAAATCCTACAATAAAGGATTCCACGATACACATTCCTCAAATAAATTCAGAACAGCATTCCAAATATACTGGTTAGTTTAAACACTACTCACCTAAAATATTTCAGGAAGGAAAAAAACGCCTTAGAAGACAGAAACTACAACAATTTCAGATAAAAGATGGAAGGGAAGGCAGTTTTCAAGTTTCCTACTTGGCATGAAAGAAAATGATAGGCTAATTTAAGAGTGATGCAAGGGAATTACCCCTTTTTGTGGATCTTGCAATATAGCTGGTAATTTATAAATTAAAAAAAAATAGGCAACAAGTTTTAATGCTGATGTAATCTCTCCAAGCACAGAATTTCTAACAATTTTAATGAGATGCTGTTTACAGAATAGTTGCAGATTATGTTCTGGTATTACTAAGGTTTGACAGCATACAACTGCTATAAGCTTAATATTGCCCTCTGCCATAAACATATGAAAAAATGTGAATTAAAAAGTACTTGTTATCTTATTGTTAATTGATAAAAAGTATAGCCTTACTAGACACATAACATAATTTACTATAGATTGAAAATCTGAGAAGTATACTCTACACAGCCTGAGACTGGATGCTCGGTGAGTTATAGAGTGAGAGGAATGCGCACTTCTGAAATCTAAACCATTAGAATGAGACAGGTCTTTCATCACTGCAATTTAATACATTCACTCTTTGAAATTATATATTAACCACTTGTTTAATAGAACATTATCCCAATTCAGATACCGATATTTCATCTTTTTAAACACATGGTAATACTGATTTTCTGGTCTACCACAGCACAAGCATCATATTACACACTACTTTTACACAAGGCAGCACAGGATTTTTTTTTTTTTTTGTAACTGTTACAAAGTAAGGCGTCCAAATTCAATTTAAGCCAGCAGATCAAGTTACTGATTGGTAAAGGTAGAGCCCAAACTACTGAATAATAAACATCATCCATATTAAGTCTTGTGAATCATGCAGTCAAATCAACAGGACAGCAGGGGTTGCCAAAAAATTGTGACAAGACTCTCCCTCCCCTCCCAGGAGAGAGGGAATTGTGAAGCAAAAGTGGGATGGCATCAAGCAGTGAGACAAAATAAAAAGCTATAATATTTAAAAATCAACTTGAAGTTAACTATATATTCTGCAAATGAAAACTGTGAAATACACACATGGCACTAAATCCATGACTGATTACCAAGACTAATATTACACAAGCTACCTGTATAGCCTTATTTTCCAGAGTGACAGAAAGTAAAAGGCTATTTCATTTTCTTCATTACGGGAGATATCCTAAATAGAATTAAGATCAGGAATCCCAAGGAGGACTCAAAAGCTCCAAGAAGGAAATGCTGTCACATCATTTTGACTCAGCGCACTGTTTAGCCTCACAACTATAGTCACTTTCAGAAATACTTTGTAAGATTTTTCAGCAAGAAATAAAACTGTCAAGGAGAACAGCAGCAAATTAGTATTTTAAAAAGTGTTATCTAAATATACAATGAAAAATCAAAACAAACAAACAAAAAATAACATGTATCATACCTTACTAGGGATCCGAAAGCTTTCAATAGGACTGATGTCATGAACACTCTCTTGAGGACTCCTTAGACCCTTTAAAAGAATTTGAATGGTCAGTTAGGATTCATATCAAACTGCAGAAGTCTTGGTTCGTGGTGAAGGAAATACATCTTTAGGAAGGGAAGAAAAAAGCCCATTAATCAATTACCCTTCCAACCTTAGGTCAGTGTAAGGCCTTATTCTATAAGCATTTAAATAAGACTATTCAAGTTTAAATTACTCAAACGGCTATGCACTTAAATCTCTATGCTACAACATGCACCTTCTCTCAGTAAAGTTCACTGAAAAAAAATACATATATTCATGTACTTCATATTACATCCTCCTGTCAGCTCCCAGATCTGTCATCTTACGTTTATGGGTTTGGGACACGTTTGTACTTTTAACATACTCAGCTCCACTAACTTGATGGGTTGTGGATTCATATAAAGCTTCATGCAAGTTAAGTGCCACTTCTCTACAACATAATTAGATTTGTATGATGGGAAAGTTTTCGATAAACTTTTAGGACTGGTTTTCTTTATTCATAGCAAAATTGAAAAAGATGCCAAATCCGCATTGTATAAAAATTATTCCTTACAATACTCAAATTCACATAAACAGAATATGTTCTAGTAAGACTTCAGGTCTCTACAGGCAGTATCGATTATTTAGGGAGTACGGGTTTACTGACTGTTCAGCACAATTTTGCAAAGTAGTACCACAGCACATGCTTCTTAGCATGTTTCCTGTTACTTCTTGCTAGAAAGCTAAGTTTTTACTAAAATCAGAAACAAGGAGGAAGAGGTGAAATTACGTCTTCGGGTTTCAAACCCCGTTCTGACTCCAGCTTTCCTTGAGCCTCCAGGCAATTCATACAAGCCCTGATTTTTAGACAGACCTATCTTCTATCCTCCCCAACTGACACAGATAATACAATTTTTAGGTCCTTTCAAATTTTTCAAAAAATAAACAAAAAAAATCAGTGCCTACACTTGGGTACCTACGCTTTTTTAAAATGAAAGGAGCTACACAAGTATTAGGTAACCTCCAAAAAGACACCAGCTACTAAAAATCAGTGTACAATGAGAGAAGTTTCATTTTAATTGACAGAGGTAAGACAATCCGTTAAAAGCGATAAAGAGTTTTAGAGGCTCATCACTTTTGTGTTAACTACTACACTTGAAAATTGCTTCACCTTCCTACTACGTAAATTCTTTTCTTTTCGGTTTTGGATTCTCGGGCTTTCTTACACTTAAAAAAAAAAAAAACTCCCTTCAAACATATATCAAATATTTTCAGTTGATGTAAACTTATTCCATAGAATCATTATAGTTGGAAAAGACCTTTAAGATTATCAAGACGAACCATAAGCCCTTCACCACCACCCCTGCTAACCCATGTCCCCAAGTGCCTCATCTGCAAGTTCCTTGAACACTGCCAGGGACGGGGACTCCAGCACTGCCCTGGGCAGCCTGTCCCAGTGCTTCACCATTCTTTGCCTGTAGAAATTCTTCCTAATGTCTAACCTGAACCTCCCCTGGAGCAACTTCAGGCCGTTCCCTCTTCTCCTCTCCATAGCTATTCAGGTAGCTGCAGAGAGTGATAACGTCTCCCTGAGCCTCCTCTTCTCCAGGCTAAATAGCCACAGCTCCCTCAGCCGCTCCTCACAAGGTCTCTGCTCCAGCCCCTTCACCGTGTGGGGACGCACTCTCCAGCACCTCCACGTCCTTCTTGTAGTGGGGGCCCAAACCTGAGCACAGTATTCGAGGTGCAGCCTCCCCAGCGCCGAGTACAGCGGGACAATCCCTTCCCTGGTCCTGCTGGCTGCACTGTTCCTGATACAAGCCAAGAGGCTGTTGGCTGCCTTGGGCACCTGGGCACACTGCTGGCTCATGTTCAGCGGCTGTCCACCAGCACTCCCAGATCCTTTTCTCACAAGCAGCTCTCCAGCCACTCTGCCTCACGGGGTTGTTGTGACCGAAATGCAGGAGCCGGCACTTGGCCTTGTTGAACCTCAAGTTGGCCTCAGCCCAGAACCTAAACTGCCACGAAGCAAAGAATTGGATTCACAGCCATAAGGGTAGGAGATAATGATTCATGTTCCCATTGCTAATTCACTGAGCAAGAGTTGTGTCTGTAGCTAATGCTCAGCTTATTCCTCAAACAGCAACAACTCATTTACAGCAGGCCGAGAACCGATCACTTAACATTGTGCTGATACTTTTGTGCAGTGATTTCATTCCACTAATATCAAAAACTACTGGCACACCAAAGAACCAGAACATAAAAGAAAACCCTAAAAGGCAACAGGATAAGAAACCTCAGAGCAGAGATGTCTGAACTCAGTGAAGCCTGGAGGTAGAAATGAACAAACCACATCCAAAACA